CTCCATTGATGCAGTCACTGAGGTAACTTGGAGCTCCATATTTGTGAGAGAAGAAGGTTTCAGCACATTACATAATCCTGTTTTTGGACAGCCCGCATACAGAAGGACTGTGCAGCTAACATGTATGTAGAGGGAGCGTACTAGTTCAGAGAAGCCCGATAGTGTTAGATTTTGGAAGCTAAGTGGGGTTGGCTGTGGTTAGTATTTAGATGGGAGACCACCAAGGAAGTCCAGGGCTGCTATACGGAGGCAGGCAATGGCAAAACACCTCTGAAAGCTTATGGGATCACTGTAAGTTGGTTGTGACTTGATAGCACTTTCCAGAGGGAAAGTGCATACAGGGAGAAGCAGGATTGCACCTTCTCACCCCATTTTTAAATGCACTCAGAAGAGGGGCAAGGCTATCGGGCATCTTCCCCCCCCACACACACACATTGCACAAATATGTATAATCCATACTGCTGTAAGATTATATTTCTTTTGTGAGCAGGTCTTCAGCCAAGGTCCAAAGGAAGTCCCTCAGCTGACACCCTGTCAGCTCTCTCAAGGAAAACTCTCAGACCTGGTTGATGTACAAGGTGGAGATGAGGTGGTAGAATGAGCTTCACCACTGTAAGCTGCAGGCAGAGGATCACGACGTAGAAAGCCTCCCCTATGTTAAAAGTTCCCAGTAAACACAAGAGTAGCACAGCAAACAAGGAGAAGAGGGATAGAACTTTTTCTCACTATTGTGTTAATTTTTTTCAAAACTGGAATTTTAGAAATGTAAATATGGAGATCTGTCTCCCAGGTTGGATTCACAACTAAGGGAAACTTCTTAGCCTATAAGGCAGTGTGAAGAATGTTTTATGGCCTGTGAACTGATTGCAGAATTTATGTTGACTGCCATCTGCCATTAAACAGATGAATTGATTGGTGGGGGCATTATATTCCAATAGCTGTCTTATCTGGGCTTGTAGAAGTTGTTTCTGAGATTGTCTTGTGCTGGGTACATAAGAAAAGCCTTGCTTGATTAGGCCCTGCATCCTAGTTTCCTACAGTTGCCAACCAGAAACTTCTAGGAAGCTCACAAGTAGGGCATGAAGAAAACACCCCTTCCCCTTTGTTTGCCCTCCTTCCCCCCATTCAAAAATACACTGCCGCTGAACATGCAGGTTCCATTTTGCTATCTTTCCTAAACAAATTTGTACCAAGGCATCTCAACACCACACACAGGTTTCTAAATCAGGCCTCCGTGACATGACCCATTTCAGTAAAGATGCCTTTTGAGGTCTTGAAGGAAGCGTGAGGTAACTTCACTTAATTAACAAAGGCAACCGATCCTTATTGGCCATGCTTCGTATTTCCCATTTCATTCCTCATTACAGCCACACACTAGAACCAAAACTGCCTGAGAAAATAGAGCGTGGGTGGGTTGCTACAGATTTAGTGTGTGTGTGGGGTATTGTGAAGAGGATTAACTTTCTGCATTCAGCTATCCAGAAGACCTGACTAGGCCCCAAGAACCTTGTATTCACTGTCCTCTTTTGTTCACAGTCTGGCCTGACCCCTCTGCATGTGGCCTCTTTCATGGGACACCTTTCTATAGTGAAGACCTTGTTACAACGTGGAGCATCTCCCAATGTTTCCAACGTGGTGAGTCAGTAGCGGAGCAAAGACATGGACGGAGCTCGCGTAAAAGTAGATCCTGTGTTCCAGCAGAGGAGTGCCCAGGTCTTTGGGAATCCCAGCTGGATTTGGGTTGAGGCTTTAAGCAATAAAATCCTTGCCATAGAGAGAAGTCAGGATGTGGTGGTATGCTGTAACTGTATGATAAGGGGTGTGGGACTAGAATGCTTCCACTGAGGAGGTTGAATTGTGTTGCCCTAATTCCATCACACAAATTAGAGGTTCTGAAACATTCAGCCCCCCTCTTTTACTTTCGACTGCATTCCAGTAGCCCCCTTTCTACCCCACTACCAAACTGACAATAAAGATTGCATATTTAAACTCCTCCATTTTTTTTTAAAAAAAACAAGGTTTTGGAAGGTAGGGAAGAGTGCTGCGACAAAAATGAAAATGAAAATACCAGCTGTACAAATTGTCTCTGGATTTCAGCCCGTGAAGTACAGATGGCAGCAATCTCAAAGAAAAATAATGTTGCTCTGTGGTAAAATAAGCAGCAGCTTAACATGTGAACTAGGGTTACCATATTTTGAAAAGCAGAAAAGAGGACATATTTCCCAACTGACTGCTTCAAACAAGTGATCACTATGACAAATCTCATTCTTAAAATCTCATTTTAAATAACCCTACTAGTTAAGCTGTGATCATTGCTACTAACTAGAAGTATTCCTAACCTTCCAATCCAAAAAGAGGATATTTTCATCAGGTTTTTTTTTTAAAAAAAAAAGAACCCAAAACAGGACAGACACCAAAAAAGAGGACATGTCCTCTAAAAAGAGGACACCTGGTAACCCTAACATAAGCACATCCCTCCAGCTTGAATCCTTCCATAGGGTGTCATGGAGAAGAAAGATCGGCTTCACATAAACACACACACATTTCAGACAATGCTGAATTCTCACTGACGTGGTGAGCCTATGCCACTTTCAGACCTCGAGCACGTGTGGGCTCATATGATTGACTCTTCCCCTTGAATTGTTAAAATCCCTGCACATAGAGGACTAATAGGTCAGGAAGAAGGCTAGGTCAGAATCCTTCCTCTTAACCTCCAGTTTTCTATGTGAATAGATCAGCCCCCACATGAAACCTAAAGTGGTACAGCCCACAACCACCATTGTGAACTAGGCCAGCTTGCTAGTTCTTTGGTGAGCTGCTGTTATTTTTAAACCAATTACACTCAGGCTTTTTGAAGTGGGGCTCACTTCTAAACTTTACCTTTTAGGACTCACTAAATCGGGGGGGGGGGGGGTTGAGCCGTCACTTCAGTCGGGTATATTGCCATAGAGTCCACCTTCCAAAGCAGCTGCTTCCTCCAAGGGTATTGATCTCGGTGGTCTGGAGATCGGTAGTTGGTCTAGATCTCCAGTCCCCACCTGGAAGTTGCCTGGCCTGGAGTCGCAACCCATTCTGGATTCATTACTCACAGTTTGAGAACTATGGCTTTAAACAAGTTCTAAGCACAGATTCCTGATTTCAAAGTTTCTATCTTATGTTTTAGCCTAAGCTGCCAACAGAAAATTCAACAAGGATTAAATAAAATGGAAACATAAAAGAGAATAAAACCAAAATGAGACAACAGTGCTGTAGCTTTGAAGAATTCAAAAGATTAAACAATCACAAGAATCCTCATAAAATGTGCCGCTTTAAAAATAATGTCTTTGATCATATCATGCAGAATGTTCCTTCTGCCAAAATATCTTGCTGCCCCCTATTGACATATGAAATATCACTTTTGGTGTTGGGGACTGGGACTGGTGGAAGCAGATTTGCCTCCTAAACAGAGTTACACCCTTCTAGGACCATAGACTTCAATGGACTTAGAAGGGTGTATCTTTGTTTTCTACGGGCAGGGAGATGTTTCTGTGAGGAAGTCATGCCAGTTCTGCCTCATCACCTGTTTTAGTTAGGTTCAGATCTTTGTACTGGTGGGTAGAAGAATCTTATTTATTTATTTATTTTTATTGGGCCTATATCCTGCCCTACCCCACATGTAAGCTCAGTCGAACTGGGTTCTGATGCTAGGACAGGGCCTTTTGCCAACCAATGACACTCTCTGGATTTGTTTACTATGCAGAAGGTGGAAACACCTCTTCACATGGCAGCCCGAGCTGGACACACCGAGGTGGCTAAATACCTACTCCAGAACAAAGCCAAAGTTAATGCCAAAGCTAAGGTGAGTGCCCTCTGGTGGCTAGTAATAATCCCCCCCCCTGAATTGATGACATTGTGGATGGGCTGTGCTTCTTTGTAGGGATTCACTGTACAACTCCAAAGTTCATTACTCACACGGGGTTTGGTGTTCTCATAATTTCATTTTCATTATCATGCAGTCAAGCTTCCATCCTTCGTATCTGCAGAAAACATTTAAAACATCGGGCCAGGGGAATTTTTGGTCAGAGTGGATTCTTAGTTGTGAGACAGGTGGATTCTGTAAAATAAGCCAATAAATGCAAATTGATTTGCATAATTTGTTCTGTGCGCAATATTTGTTTTTTGGGTTTTTTTTGAGCCCCCCGAAGGAGATTTTTTTATTTGCATTTTCTATAAACTACAAACTGTAAAACTACAACGAAAAAAGGGTAGAGTAAAGAAAACCTTCTAAAAACCCTAGAGATGGTGGTCATACATACAGTTTACAAATTTAGCTTTAAGCTCATATATGTTAAGTAAGATTTCATTGAATATGGTTAACTGCTTAATATTTAAATTCAGGAATACTTAAAACACTACCATAACTGACTTCATAAAGATGAATGCAAGAGTAAATTCTAAAGCATAGGAAAAGAAAAAATTCCCTAAAAGTTCCAGAGTACAACAAACTATTTTCCCCCTTTTTCCCCACAAAAGGTAGCTTGATTTTGGGGCATTTGGGGCAATATTTGGAATTTCATGGAGGGAGGGGAGAATTGGCACAAATTACTGGCTCTCTAGCTGTTGTCAGGCTTATGTGATTCTATGCAAATGAGCCAGTCGCAGAATCCTGATTATCTTGACTCTGAATATGGGTTTTGGTTGGTGCAAAATTTCAGTAGCATTTTTAAAAACATAGCCCTGCCATGTGAACATCTCTTGAATGAGTCCCACAGTCTTGCTTTTGTCCAAAGTTCAGCCCTGTGCCATCTGAGCATTTTTTTTTAGGCGACTACCTCCATGGAGCCAGGCTAAGAGACTCTCTTGTCACCCACCGCAGGATGACCAGACACCATTGCACTGTGCTGCTCGCCTTGGACACTGCACTATGGTGAAGCTCTTGCTAGAGAATGGCGCTGACCCCAATCTGGCCACGACAGCTGGGCACACGCCCCTGCACATCACTTCACGCGAGGGCCATCTGGACTGCGCCTGTGCCCTCCTTGAAAAGGAGGCATCACAGATGGCCATGACCAAGGTAGGGGAAGAATGGGCACTGGGGTCTGTTTCCTCCCAACCTCATTGCTTTCATTTTTGTCCTCTCCCAGGGTACGCAGGGTTGGCCAAAGCTTTATAAGTCCAGAGCCTCTAGGCTGCTAGTGGCCCTTTCCTAATTCTTTGCAATGATTTATTTATTTTTTTATTTTTTTATCATTCAATTTATATCCCACTCGAACCTCGAAGGGTCTCTGAGCGGCTTACACACAATCATTGGTTCCTAACTAAGGCCACAATGATGGTGTGGAAATTGCTGCTGTATAGCAAATCACCCTGCCCAGGAGGATGGGAGATAATCAATCCTGTCAAGAGCAGACAGACTTGCTGAAGACAGTTTTTATGGCCTACCTACACAAGATGTTTGTTGACAATTCAAGTGTTGGGGTTCTCCTGTTCAGAAAAACCACTCCCTGGGTTGGGAGGATGGGGAAGGCAGAAGCCTCTTCTTCTTCTGCACTGTGGTCCTGATCTGAATGGGGCCCGATGGCTCTTGAGGAAATAAGTTGCTGCCGTCTGACTGTGGGGAACACAAATCAGACTAGGAGAACCTGGCCCAGCTTGTGGGCAAACATCTCATGTAACTCAGGCCAATAAGAGCTGAAGACAGTGAAATAAAAGTATCTTTGGCTTTGGTATATTTCTGCCCTCCATAATTTCTGCAAGTCTGCAACATCATTTTTAAAAAATCACAGAACTTGTGAGTGAAGACAATAAGGCAGGGGTCCCTAACGTTTTTCAGCCTGTGGGCGCCTTTGGAAATCTGATATAGCGTGATAGATGCAGCCACCAAATGGCAGCCACAGGAGGCAGAGCCAGACTTAAAATGGCTGCCATGGCATTCCTTCAGTCACACGGCGATGATCCATGTGTTGCGGTGGCAGCTGCTGCCAAATCAACGCTTTAAAAAAATCTGCACAGCCAATCGGATTTCCAGTGGCCAAACAGTAGCCTTGCCGGGCAAAAGCCCCACCTGGCCCTGCCCACTTTCTAAAAACAGTTGGTGGGTGCCAGGAAGGCTGTTGATGGGCACCATGTTGGGGACCCTTGCAATAATAATAATAATAATAATAATAATAATAATAATAATAATAATAATGATTATGGTTTTATAGCCCGCCCTTCACTACCCGAAGAAGTCTCAGGGTGGCTTACAATCTCCTTTCCTTTCCCTTCCCCGCAACAGGCACCCTGTGAGGTAGGTGGGGCTGAGAGAACTCTTTCGAGGACTGCTCTTGAGCGAACAGCTCTGAGAGAACTTGTAACTGACCCAGGGTCACACCAGCAGCTGCATGTGGAGGAGTGGGGAATCAAACCCGGTTCTCCAGATTAAAGTCCGTGCTCTTAACCATGGCTACACCAAACCAAAGGGAATAAGCATAAACTTTGGTAGCAGCAAGGCCTTTATCTGCCTTCAATTTTTAGGGTGTTTCTCTGCTGCTGAGTTACAACATTTTCTTGATGCCGACAAACTAGTTTTACATCATCTCCCTCTTACCCAGGAAATCTTAGGAGCTGCAATCATTTGAGGCAGATTAGGGATACTCTGAAAGAATTCTCAGCAACATCACCAAGCTGTGGTGGTCATAGTGCTATTAAAACTAGTATTGGTTTGTCATAGAGCCGTGTCCTTTTGCTAGAGGCTCCAGGGCTTTTTTTCTGGGGGTACGCACCGGAACAGAGTTCCAGAACCTCTTCAGGAAAATTCTTTTTAAAACGCTTAAAAGCCCATGAGTTTTCAGTATACAGACTGAAAACTTCATTTCCCTCTTGAGAGTTCTGGCACCTCTTTTTCCAAAAAAGAAAGAAGGGGGGGTGGGGAAGCCCTGGCTAGAGCTGTTAGTTTAGCACTGCCTCCAAAGGCAACAACTAGGTGAGACATTGGAGATCTGTGATCTGATCTCTTGGCTCAAACCATTCTGTAAAGAGCAGCTGCAGAGGCCTTGAAATTGGACTGAGGCCGTTGTGCTTTCCGCGTTGTAAATTGGCCTCTGGCAGTGTTATTTGCCCTGACACAGAAAAGTTCTGGGAAAATGCAGGCAGAAAAGCCAAATGTAAAAGCATTACATTTGGCAAACAAGTTAATTCATTGAGACTTTTCCATGTCACATTTCAGAAATGAAGCCTGAAAATGTTCAAAACACCATGCCAAAATCAATTCATAAGAATTGTCTTGTTGGATCAACCCAAAATTAGTTCAGTTCCCTGTTTCTGACATCGTGCCCTGGGAAACTCACAGGCAGCGCATGAAGGCCTTGGTCTTCCCCTGTTATTGGTCACCAATATCTTGTACACTGCCCCTAAGTATGGAGACTCTGTTTAATTGTTGATATGTCTCTCTTCCATGAATGTGCCTAATTTTGCCCCCCCCCCTCCAGTTGACTAAGCTCACAACCACCCTGGCATCTTTGTGGTTATGACTTTCATAAGCAAATTATGTGCTTGGTAAAGAAGTACTTCCTCAACCTACCACCAGTTGGTTTTTTTTGCTGAATTTTGTTTTCACTCAAAATGTTGTCTTTCTCCTGCAAGCTCCATGTGTAAGGAGCCCAGAGAGGTGCTTGGGTTGCCTCATGCTGAGGACTACCCATCGTCCTTCCCTCCATTATCTCTTGTTCTCCTTCCAGTGTCAGGCACTGATGTTCCCTGTTTCTCCCCAGAAAGGATTTACCCCTCTGCACGTTGCTGCCAAATATGGGAAAGTGGATGTGGCTGAGGTACTTCTGGAGCGTGACGCCCAACCCAATGCAGCAGGGAAGGTATGTTTGGTGTGTCCCTTACAACATTGTCCCTGCCCCCCCCCCATCTTTGTGAAGCCCATGGGCATTTTTGAGAAAGAGCAGTGGGTGCTAACACAAAATGGCTTCCATGGGAGGTGTGACCAGTTACAAAATGGCTGTAATGGGGGGCAATTACAAAAGTTGAGGGCTCTTAAGGCTTACATCCTCCTAAGATAGTGGCAGCTATTTCCAAATGGACACTCCCTGCAGACTCAAAGGGGGTGCCTCCTGGGGTCTTCTGAAGTACTTCCAGTTCTAGTGTGATGGAGAAAATCCAGGACTGGCTTTTTGCTTTGAGGAAGAAGGAAGTGGGTACCAGGAAACACATTAGTGGGTACCAGGAATAAGGAAGTGGGTACCAGGAAACACGTTGCAGATCACTGCCTTACAGGAGGATGTAGGTAGTATTGGGTGGATATACGGTATTTCTCCTAGCTGGTCTTCCTCTCTGTGCGTTGGATCCCATGGGCTTCTTGCACCAAGGGAAGGCTCCTTCCACCAGAGGAAAAGCACCTCTGCTAGTCTCAGAGTCCCACCTGGTCCATCCCTGTGTTTCCCTCTCTGCAGAATGGCCTCACACCCCTCCATGTAGCTGTGCATCACAACAACCTGGACATTGTCAAAGTGCTGCTTTCCAAGGGAGCCTCCCCACACAGCGTGGCCTGGGTAAGGGGCAGGTGACTCTATACCACATTTTGGACTGAAATCTAGCAATCGGGAGGGCAGGTGGCTAGGGTGAGGGGGGTGATAGGGGGCAGGCTGTTCTCTGGAATGGAACAATTCAATAAAGGGAACTGATGGGTGGTATTAACTCTGATTGCTCAGAACAGTCATCAAGAGACCTGGGTAAGGATGCAGGGAAACCGAGCTCAACTCTGAAACCCCATTTAGAAACGTGGGTGATATTGGGGAAGGAACTTAAGAAAGTTCCTTGACTAGGATGGCCAAAGCTAGCCTGATCATATCAGATCTCAGAAGCTAAGTATGGCCTGTCCTGGTTAGTACTTGGATTGGAGGTCACCAGCGAAGTCCAGGGATGCTACGCAGAGGCAGGCAATGGCAAACCACCTCTGTTCCTCTCTTGCCTTGAAACCCCTACAGTGTCACCATAAGTCAGATGTGACTTGACGGCACTTTCCAGCACCACTCAGAAAGCCCTGAGATAATCAGAGTTCAGGGCAAGTAGGTTGTTGGGCAAATGTGTACAGGGTAGTTTGAATGCTGGTGTCAAGGGTTCAGTGCTGGGAGAATCAGGCCATATCCACTAGCAAGGCTGCAGCTCGTTGGAGGCAGAGGAGCTAGGCTGGGATAGAAGGTGCATTCCAGATCCCAGGGCACGATGTCAGAAAGCTAGGCGTAAAAGGCACCAACCAGCAGTCTGGAAGCACAGAAAAGCAACCTCATGGCTTCTACTGGCAACATGTTCCCCAGATAAAAGGACCACAACAGATACTAGTGTGGGATTGTCTCCCCTGAATCATCTGACTCCCAAGGTCTGGGAGAGACTTATTTGTGGCATCAGTATTCTGGCTTGGACCATCTGCAGCTCCCTCCTGAGACCAGCAGCCCCGTTGTGCAGACTAGGGGTTCGATTCACGCCTTGCAATACTTTGATGCCTGAACTCTCTGACATTCTAATTGTGTGACTTGCCCCCGGGCCTGCTAATTTCTCCTCCACAGAATGGATATACCCCCTTGCACATTGCCGCTAGGCAGAACCAAATGGAGGTGGCCAGCAGCCTGCTGCAGTATGGTGCTTCTGCCAATGCCGAGTCCGTGCAAGGGGTGACCCCGCTGCACTTGGCGGCCCAGGAGGGCTATGCAGATATGGTGGCCTTGCTCCTGTCCAAGCAAGCGAACGGTAACTTGGGCAACAAGGTGAGCAGAGCCCAGTCTCTTTCCTGTGCATGGAAGAATTCTGAGTCAAATATGCCATGGGCATTTCCAGGGGAAAGACAGCAGAAGCCTGATGCCTTAAAATGGAAATTCTTTCTACCTCTCTCACATGAAAGCCTCCTTGCATATCAGTAGATGAGCTATACATCTAACCTTCTTCCTTATAGGCTAGCTTTCTATTTGTGTTTCTTCCCTTTTATTCTGATGTGGTGCAGTCCCAAGAGGTGCATATAAAGATCAACTCTATATAGATAGATCCAGGTGGTCAGCCGTGTTGGTCTGAAGCAGTAGAACAAATTTAGAGTCCAGTGGCACATTTAAGACCAACAAAGGTTTATTCAAGGTATGAACTTTTGTGCGCATACACACTTTTTCAAATACATTGGAATGGGAACCTTAAAGGTGCCACTGGATTCTAAATTTGTTCTATATAAATAGGTAATTCCATGTATGGTCAGAAGATGGCACTTGTGGGCTGTATGTTGTCCAGTCTAGGGAGAAAATTTTTCACTGCCAGATTTTAATACTAATTAAAACAATAATTCCCAATCTGTTATCATGTCACGAGAGAATTAAATTAATTTGGTAATCCAAGGCCCCTGTGAACCTCAGGCATCTTGCCGACTGCCGTATCTCTGCATGATTCTCTGCTCTGACCTTGTTATCCACTAGTGAGCCTTTGCTGACATTAGTCCTTTCCACACTTGGATCTTATCCCTGGTTTTATCAAAATTCGACTCGTGACACAATACCTTGCATTTATCCCTGGTTATAACAGCATTTATTTATCCCGGGACAAGTGTGGGGCGAAACCGGGGTAACCTCAATGTAATGTGGAAACAAAAAATACCTCAAGATAATTACAGGGGTGAACTCGAGTGTAGTGTAGAATGTAAGTTCAGGGACTGGGTTGAACCAGGATTTAAGGTCTAGTATGGAAAGGACCTATATCCGATAGGATTCAGTTACTGCTGATGCACAGAGAGAGCAGAATTCTCTGCTTCCAGCGGTGGATGCTAGTTGCATTTATACTTGGGTTGCTATTCTAGGCTTGCCTCCTCTAGAATAAATCGCATGCTCAGTTCAGTAACTCTTGCAGAAGCATAAAGGATTCTCCCAGGAGCAGAAAATTCTTATTGTTGCACATGCTGAAAATAAACTGCAGAAAGTGTCAGTCTTAACTAGCAGAAGTTTTGAAAACAAGAAATTCAAAGCCACTTGACTGTTTTAGAGGCAAAAAATTATTTGATGCTTGAAACGGTCAACCATTGTTTTATTTTGTTCAGTATGTTCTGAAGAGAGTTTGCTTTTTGAAGGGCAACAGTCCTATAATGGAGAGTTCTCAACATTGTTCCCAGTTCAAGATTCACAACAATAACATAAGTAAAACACTTTAATTTTTTTTTGAAAGACAAGATCTCCAGCTTAAATCTCCAGCCTAAAAGTGAGAGCCAGTGTGGTGTGGTGGTTAGAGTGCTGGATGAAGACGCTCCTAAGTTCAGCTCAGCCAATGAGGTTCACTGAATGATCTTAGACCAATAACTCTCTCTTTCAGCTGTAGCAAAAACTACCACATCCATACATCGTGGAAGAATGCACTGTCATGTGCTATGGCAGTCATCCTCATCCTGAGCCGCTTTGTCCACACCTGCAAACACAGCTAGTGTACACAACAGTAGCACAGCATCCAGTGATGTGCGGATACAGCCAGGGAATTCTCCATTTGACTCAAAAGTGGCAGCAGAGCCACGTTTGTTTAAACCTAGATCTTCCCCAATCACATGGAAAGTTGGTGACATATGTGAAGGGTTGTGTCTGTCCAATTTTAACAATAAAGGGGATGTGTGAGTATAACCTCTATTTAATCCAAAGAGCAATATCAAATAAATAGGTATATTTTTATTAAAGAACTGAGAGAGTTCAAGTCTATGACAGTGTGATCCCACCATGTGACACTTACATTTATGAAAATAACAATAAACTAACGTCAAAAGCCATCGTATCAGGGCTGTTGTATTTGAGCCGACCAGTGTCTCAGTCTTTCTGACTTCTGTCTAGCCAGTCCCTTAAAGATCAATCGAATTGCAGCTTTGGGATGTCATCTGTTCTTTTCAGGAGTTACTGGTAGCCTTACAATATTAATAGGTAGTTTATAGAAAGGGCTGCTTCTGAAGTAAGAGTGCTTCTGCCTGCAGCTTCAGCCCCCCCCCCCAACCCCTCAGGAAAGACTCATAGAGCATCCTTTTCAAATATGCACAACAACAATCAAAATACAGACTAACAGCCAATTAATGTAAGCACAATCCCCCCTTCTAGTAATCAGTATAAGACATTCTCATACCTAGAATATTAATATGTAGTTTTATAGAAAGGAGTGTTTCTGAGGTGAAAGTGCTTCTACCTGTAGCTTCTGGCCCTCCAATCCTTCTGGGAAGATACCCCAACTCTTTAGTTCCCTCCCCCCATGGACTCAGGGTTACATGCACAAGGAGCACTAAATCTTCCTCCTGCTATGGATCATGGGAAGAGAGGACGTGGGGAGGTAAGCCACAGATGATGGGAGGGATCTGGCTGCCTCACTTTCACGTGCCTTCTGTTGTTGAAATCTGACACACACACCACTTTCTATCATGATCGGGGCTGGTCTAAGTTTAAACAGGCAGACTGGCTGACACTGTGCCTAGTTTTGGCCCTTAGCCCCTGTATTTACCTGTCAAAAGACAGAAACTGAGGAAGCAACAGCTTGTATTGATCCATCCCTGCCACCCCCGGCCAGCGCAGCTTCCCGGGCATTCGTCTTTGCTTACTACTAGCAGCAAGCCAGAATGCGTGCCACACGGTTAACAATAGTGCTCAAAATATAGTCTTTAAGGAGAGCATGTTTCCCGAATAGCAGTCCCACCTGCCATCTGCTGCTACAGTGGCGTGGGGAGGGGGGGTAGGAACACCAGCTGGGAAGCTGCGCGGGCTTCCTTGCTGCCCTGAAATTATACCACTTGGCCAGTTCCACCACGAGCCTTAATTTCCGAAAGAAAAGTGCTCCCTTTCTCTTCGTCTCGGATATGGTGGGGGAGGGGGCTGGTGGCCCTTCATGACTGACTGGTGAGGGAAAGGCACTCTCCTTAGGCAACAATTGTCTCTTTCTCCTTTGTTGTTTTCTCACATGATCTGGCACAATGAGAATTGGTTCTGGGGCTGAAATACAAGCTGGCCCTTGACATCTGGTCTGGGTCAGACTTCAAGGTAACCAGATGTGAAAGAGGAGGCTGCTCTAATATTTGTCCATGAGGGGAAATTTGGGCAGCTGCCGCTTTCCTGACCCTTGCATGACGAGCCGCACCTGTCAAAAGGGCTTCTCATATGCCCCTATTTCATACGCTCAGAGTCTCCCCCCCCCCCAACAATGGGCCTCATCCATTTTATTTAAAACCACTGGTATGGGGGGGGGGCAGTCTGACAAAGGCCTCGGCCACAGAGAGGGGTGTCACAGCCGGCTTAAGCTAGTGTGTTGATGCCAAAATTCTCTAACAGCTTTCTGAGGCAGTGGAGCTGACCCACACTTGCTCCCAGAACTACACTTGGTGGTTTTATTGGTTAGTTTGGAATTTAGGAGTGCACAGTAGAGAGGCTGTCTGTTGCAGAAATCCAATCAGTGAAGTGGCTTCTGTCCCAGGGGCATCCAGTGATGGAGAAAAGTGGCAGCTGCAATCGTTTTTTCTTCTCATTAAAACTGTTAAAGTCGCAAGGCCTGTGTTTGTTGAAATGGCTAGCACTGCAGACCTCCAGTTGGGATTTTCCAGTGCCTTCTAGAGATTTGTCCCTCTTTGTATCATCTTGACCCTGCTTTTTAATTCCAGAGTGGCCTCACCCCTCTTCACCTTGTCGCTCAAGAGGGGCACATACAGGTGGCGGATGTCCTCCTCAGGCATGGAGTCCAAGTGGATGCAACCACACGGGTAAATCCACTGGCAGGCACCAATGGCTGTTGGTTTCTCTTCAGCATTGGCCTTACAAAGACAGGCCCTCAAGAGGGTTAAAGACTAAGGAGTCATTTGTTTTCTCACAGGTGGACTGGAAGTCTTCATTGTTTGGCATATTATATACATAAATCAGGGAGGGCAGGGTTAGGCTGCTGTCGTGGGTCAGCCTGAGCTCAACACAAAGTCCTCAGGGGAAGAGGACTCCTCAGGAGAAAGGGAGTCACCCTAGATTCTGACAGTTGCCATATGAAGGCTCCATTTGTTGAATTTATGGCTCCTCCCACAGCATGGTGCCTTGGTTCTTATTAGCTCTGTTTATTCTTTGTGCTTTTTGGCATGTGGGAACAAGGCTTCATCTAGTGCCTGAACTAAAATCCTGCATGTAGGCCTGTCCGTATAACTTGGGGGGAGGGGAAATCATCTAGGTACACCACAGTTAAGGTTGCCAACTTCAGGTTGGGAAATTCCTGGAGATTTGGAGATGGTGGCATTTGGGGAGGGGATAAGGGTTGCCAGGTCCCCTTGTCGCTCTGGTGGGGGGCTTTGGGGGGGGGATGTTCCAGGGGTGGGTGGGGATGTCGCGCAATGTCTCCGACACGATGATGTCACCCAGAAGTAACATTGCATGGAGGGATGCTCTGATATTTTGGTGAAACCTGCAAACCACAGTTTGCCCAAATACCAGAGTGTCCCTGCATGATGTCCCCGATGTGATTATGTCACTTCTGGGTGATGTCATCACATCAGGGATGTGATGTCTCTGTTTAGGGGCACAGCAATGTCTCTGTTTAGGGTCGGGGTTTCCCCCACCGGCCAACTGCTTTGTGGCAGGGAGAACCCCCTGAAATTGGGGGATCCCCCGCCTGGACCTGGGGGGCTGGCAAGCCTAGGAGGGGAGGGAACTCAGTGGGGTACAATGCCATAGAGTCCACCCTCCAAAGCAGCCATTTTCTCCAGAGAAACTGATATCTGTCATCTGGAGACCAGTTGTAATTCTGGGAGCTCTCCAGGCCCCATCTGGAAGTTGGCTACCGGGACTACAGTAGTTTCATGGCAGTAGTAGATAACACTACCAGTAGTCTCCCATGAAGGTAGTTTCAGATGGGTAGCCATGTTAGTCTGTAGTAGTGGAACAATACTGAGACCAGTAGCACCATAAAGACCAACAAAATTTTCCAGGATATAAGCTTAAGTGAGGAAAGCTTCATTATATTTGTACCCGACAAAGTATGCTTTGATTCATCCATTGTACCCTGGAAAATTTTGTTGGTCTTTAAGGTGTTATTGCACTCGAATTTTGTGTTAATGATCTCCCAGTGGTTCTTAAGAGGAAGGGTTCCCACTGCCAAAATCACAAATGTCTAAAGGTCTCCAGCCACCCTGATCTACTTTAGGGACCCCCTCCCCATCTACCTAGGTGTACCTGGGAAATACTGAGGAAACACCTGGATAATTTCTAATAAAAGCAACAGCAAAAAGTGCCTTACCCAACTTCTCTGTCTACATTACAGATGGGCTATACACCCTTGCATGTGGCTTGTCATTATGGGAATATCAAGCTAGTGAAGTTTCTGCTGCAGCAACAGGCAGAAGTCAATTGTAAGACCAAGGTAGGAAAAGACCCGTTAACTTACTTAAGTCATTTGATTTTTAACATATAGCAAACCTACACATTATGTAAAACAGAGGCATCAGCGGTAAGGGCCTTGGCAGCCTCCATACAGCTTACCAGAGTCCACACAAGTTGCTGATTTGTCTTCAGGGCTCAGAGGATGTTGCCATTAGCAGTGCAGAGGTACCTTTGGCTGCTACTACACACCCCAACAGTTTCTTCTCTCTTTGATGACACTTTGCAGGAGCCTGGGTTGAAAAGGCACCTCTCTTTCATAGCTGCCTTTTTTTGTGGGTGGGAATGCTTGTGTCTGGGGTCCTGGGATGCAGCAAGGTTAAGTGTGTTTATTTTTGCTTCCCTCCTTGTTATCATACCTGGTAAGATGGCAGAAACAAGATAAAGGGGTTTTTCCCCTCCCCATTTTGAGGTTCAAATTAGATGTTACAGAAACATGTGGTTTGTTATCATCATGTGTGCATTTTATGCACGTATGCCCCCCCTCAGCAGCAGCCAAACACTTGGAGGAGGAGGAACTAGATTTTGATTTGAGTTCAATAACTTCCATCTAAAACTGAAGTTCAAAATAACATATAAATGTGCATCAGTTCAATGCAGCCTAATGCTGCTTCTGCTACTTGCCTCTTACTAATTGGGTCTCCTCTTCTTTCCCTTGCAGCTTGGGTACACTCCTCTGCACCAAGCAGCTCAGCAAGGCCACACTGATATCGTCACCCTCTTGCTAAAGCACGGAGCATCCCCCAATGAAGTTAGTTCGGTGAGTGTAAAATCCCAGGGGTCTGAGAAGCTGCATCACTTCCTTCTTCAGTGACCTTTTCGGCTTGCCCGTTCATTCTTGTTGCTCCACCACTTGTTGTTTGTTGTGACCCAGGCTTGGTTTGTGCATGAATCTCTGTTGATTTCTGTGCACAGTTGAAAACCAGAAGCAGAATGCATGAATGGATTGTGTCAATGTGTGTTGCATTTGGGCAGATGTGAGGAAAAATGAAAATGTGGTATAAAGATGTGTGATGCATGAGCAGGCCATGGCTTGGTGTCGCAGCCATCAGATGCTGAATGTGCATGTGTGTGTCGGTCAAAGATCAGGGCATTACAGACAAGATAAATGGGAGCATACACACAATGTTGTGTTTATTCTGATTACAACTCGTGTACCACCCAGGGCTGTCCCCTTTAAGATGGAACATATTTATTTATTTAGATTATTTTATAATCCACCTTTCTTGCTGGGACTCAAGGTGGACTATGAAGAAAGAAAAACCTCCTTTGATTCCATTGAAAAGGGCAATGGTGGGGGTTGCTGTGGGCAGAACATCCTTGTGGGCACTCCTCACAGCCACTAAGAGGTGAGGGGGAAGAGTTGAGTGCTCCACATTTCCTCCCCCTTTAAAGAACTTCTTTTCTTTTCTCAGCCGAGCTGTAGTTTGACAGTGCAGTTTAGCTGAGAAAGGGGAGAGTTAGGGGGGGAACAGTGCTTTTGCATAGGTGCAATGAAAGAATAGGAGGAGGAGTCAGGGAATTCACCGTATGGTCACCATGGATGGTAAAAGTCCCCTTGTTTACATCGTATTTCCTCCAGTGCTTATCTGAACATGAGCTTGTGTGTGTTTTAAGAGGTGGAGGAAAGGTTTAAAAAGAAAAAATACATGTTCTTTAAGAACTGATTCCCCTCCCCCTTTAAAATGCTAATAAAAGTGTCTTCTCCCATTCCTGTGCCTCTTCAATCCAAATTGCCAAAAAATTACCTTTTATAGTCTGAGATTTGCCGTGATTGTCTGTTTCCTAAATTTTATTGAGATTATGGCTATCATCTTGTTCATAAATCTAAAAGCCTCCTTTGCCCATGTTAATAAGGACTTTGTAAAGCTTTCCTCAGAATGACCCATTGATTCCCCTGTTTAGATTTGGTTCACATTGAAGAGGGACTTTTAGTTCAAGGAAGGGTCTCCTAGTAATCTGCATAAAATGGATATAATCCCTCTGAAATAAAAACAGAAATGACAGAGCAATGCACAAGAAACGCAGAAGCATCACAGAGTGTAAGCTACCTATGCTTCTAGCCCTTATGGCTGTGAAGATCTGTGGGAAATGCATTATGAAATCTCAGAAGTTAGAAAAGTGGTTGGATAAAATTTCCAGGCATCCAGAGTAGGACTTCAGTGCCCTGGGTACTTTAATCTCTTTTTAACCCTCATATTAACATGAGTGTCTTCTCTCTCTGTCTCTCTCTCTGCAGAATGGTGCCACACCTCTGGCCATTGCCAAACGGCTGGGTTACATTTCTGTCACTGATGTGCTAAAAGTTGTGACAGAGGAGACTACCAGCTTTTTGGTGAGTCCTTCACCCAAGCCAGCCTGCTCTGGGGGGTGGTTTTGTAGCCTTGGGGCAGAACTCTCACCTGATCCTTTGCCTCATGCAGTCATTCAGTGACAAACACCGCATGAGTTTTCCTGAGACGGTGGATGAGATCCTGGATGTTTCCGAGGATGAAGGTGAGTCCCAGGGATAGGCTTCCCTTACTCCAAATGCTATACTTGGGGTGACGGGGAATAGAGGGTAGAAGTGATTCATCTCACCCAGCTGGAAGATCCAAAGAGCACATTAATGAGAGACCTTCTCCAAACCTTGGTCTTCCTGCCTGATAGAATCTCTCCCTCATTATTCCCTACCCTGCTCCACATCCACCTCTGATACTAACATTCTAGTTTTCAGACCTTAATTAATGATTTTTAAAATAAGTTAGTCTCAGCAAATCCTCCTTCTTTGAGTTTAGCATGGGGGGTGTCCAAAAACCCTATCTCACTTGCACTCTGCAGCTGGTAAGTGTTTGCCTAACCCTGCAGTGATGCCTATCTGTGCCTGGTAGTATGAATGCTACACTTCTGAAGGAGCACAGAAAAAATGCAATTCAACTTCTCTGAGAATCTGGGTTTTTTTAAGAAGCAAATTTTACGAACTTTAATAACCTGTTCATTTATGCCACCTTAATGGTCTCAAAGATATGCTCGAGTGTGTATGGGCATTGCCAGAGAGGTAGGTCCATGAAGTTTTCAGTGGACAGGGGGTGAGGTTTCAGTCCCATGTGTAGCTCTTGCCTCTCCCCAGGTCTAGCTAAACCAAATGTACCCAGACACCCAACCCTCTGTGGGAGGCTGCCAGGCAGGATCAGTCTCTAAGGTCTCTCTGTCAAGTTCTTTCCCCAGGCGCTGTGTTGCCTGGCCCTTGACCATGGGTGGCTTGTGCATGGTGCCCACAATCTCTGGCCAATAGTTCAAATCTCCTTTTTTTCTTGCTTTCCAGGCACGGCTCACGTAACTCTCCTGGGTATGGACTGTGTGTTTTTCACTGTGGGCTTGGCTTGCCCACCCGACCCATCTGCCCCATTCCACCCCACGTTGTGACTGCCCAGGCCTCACCTGCCTCCATCCCATGCCATACTCAGCTTCCCTGTGGGCCAGCTCACCCACCTGCCCGTTTGTGTCTGTGGCCATGTAGATGCTGGGCGGGTAGGGAGGGCATTTGCATGAACAGCCACCATCTCATTGCTGCTGGGCATTGCTTTGCACCTGTCTGAGCCCTACAAGCCAAACGGCAACTGTGCACAGGCTGGGCCTGTCTATCTGGGCACTGTGACCAGAGCCTGGATGGGCACTTCTCTCCCTTGGAAGGGGATGTCCTTTTCCCTATTGCTCCATGACACAGACACGGCCCTGTCTCACTGTTGCTCTTGTAATCCCTGCTGCCTCCCCCTCTTGTTGTCAGGACATGTATACCACTTCCCTTCTTTCCCACATGAGACTGGTCCAGTGGCTAGGGTATTGAACTAGGACCTGGGAGACCCGGGTCCAAGCCCTCACCATGCCATGGACCTTGAACCAGTTTCTGTCCCTCTCAGTCCAGCCTACCTCACAGGATTGTTGTTAGGAGGATAAAATAGAATAGGAGAGAATGCTGTTGTAAGCCACTTTGGGTCCTCATTGGGTAGAAAAACAGGATATAAATTTCTGAATGAGTAAATCCTCCCTACAGTTGTGTCATTCCCCCTCTCCCAATTCCTTTCCTTTCCTTTCTATAGTTGGTAGTCACACCTACTAAGCACTTTCTCGGTACAAGCAATCCTTCTGGCCACTGATTAGCTGGCACATTGTGTGTGTGTGTGATGGTGGTGGTGGTGGTGGGGAATCTACCCATCACGAGGAATCTATCCATCATTTTGCTCCCAGGGCTGTTAAGGAACTCATTGGCCAGCCATGCCATCAAAAACTATTAAGGCTAGAGATACTATTTATTCAGAGAGATGAGTGGAGATGGAAAGAAAGATTGCTAATTGTGATGTCTGCATTTATCCTGCTTTTGCCTCTGAATAAAGAAGTCTGTTACGTTTTTGTGTTGTCCCTCAAACCTATTAGACCAGAGGCGACAGCAGGCGGGAAGAAATGCATATGTACACCATGAGAAGTGAAGTGTCTTGGGAAAATTGACTGCCTCCAGCCTAAAGCCAAATGTGGACATGGCCAGAAAGGTGCAGATGGCCCTTCTCTGTGGCTGGATCTTATGCTAGCTACACCTAGTCACACTAGAAGGGCATGATCATATGGGGGTTGTCCAGAATAATGTAGGTTCTACCCTGGCCAGTGTCACTCTCTACTACTATCTGAGCCATAGATGGTGCCCATATGTTCCACCAGTCCCATGTATTTCCAACCCTCAAGCATCACCAGATGTAATGTGGGTTGGAGCCATGTTATTCTTAGAACACACAAACAGAACCTGAATTTGGTTGTATTCACTGCAGTGAGCTGTGGGTCCTGACCCCCTTGGTTACTCCCTGGTCTGTATCCAAAGGGAGAGAAGGTTTCTGTGTTACCAGATTCGCCAGAAAACCTGCAGTGCTGGGCTTGATGGGTACACATCACAGGCCAAGTGCCCCAATCAGTCCTGGTTTTCAGCCCCTTCTCTCTTTCAGGGGAAGAGCTGGCTGGGACCAAGCCACACAAGCGGGGCCTCCACTATCAGGACGATGAGAGAGAAATTGTGGAATTTGTCCCTAAACTGGAGCACACGTAAGACATGTTGCATGGGGTGGGGAAAGGGATCACTGGGAGACTTTGCGTTCATGCTGAGAGCAGCTCCTCCCCTTCCCTGAGACTGGGTCCATCCATTTGGGTCTCTGAATTGAAAAATCCAAATGCCACCTGGGCATTCTTGTTCATTAACATGGGATGCAGTCCACTGGGAAATTCTCCGGCTGAAAAACTGGAGATGCATGGTAGCATGTCCTTGCACAACTTCCATTCCTTTCAGTGGGAGTTGTGCAGGAGAACTTCTGGGTGGGTTGCCTCACAAGAGTCAGGTCTTTCCGTCTTCCATTCTGCTACCTTTAACAGCGCCCGGAATCTGAAGTCTTGTGTGGTAGAGCAGCCTCTACCCAGAGACCAGCGCTTACGCGTGCACTCAAGCTTGCCTGCACACAAAAGCTAGTGCATGCATGTGCTGGCAGTCCCTTGGATGAGAAGGGAGCCTCCAGAAACTTTCTCATGCTGCTCCATGTGGAGGTGGAGGTCACAGTCATGTGTCATTGCTTGGGATTGCCCTCAGTGGAGTTCAGACCCAGCCACCTGGGTCAGTAGCCTCACCTTGTCTCAAATCAGATGTGTGGGGTGCTTCTTCTCATGCTACTGTTGCTGGGCTGGCGTAGCAAACCAGCTGCAGATTGTTTCTATGGATACAGTGTACAGCCCTGGGATCCTTCCATGACAATTCTGTTCTTCCCTGCTCAATTGCAGCCACTTCTCTCCATTCACCAGTTACAACTCTGTGCTCCTTCTCAAGCAAGGCTTCCCCTCCCTCTGCCCCACCAGAGGTCTTCCAATTGCAGCTACTGTGGAGGGAGCAGAATGCAATCACACTCCTTTTATCTCCATCCGTGCTGGCGGGTCTAAAAGGAGCAAGGAACTGCAGCGCAAGAACATGTGGGCCAACTGGGTAGGGTGCCTGGAGCAGCAGGAAGATCATGATTCTCACGCGCCCTGCTTCCCCCAAACATCCCTCTTATGGAAACAGGGGATTCATCCAGCATCTTTAGTTGGCAGTGGACCCTCTGCCAGCCTGTGGGCCTCGACAGGTGCCCAGTTTTGCCAACCCTGGACCTGTGGACAGCTCCAAGATGGGTCGAGCCAACTGCATTGCTGGTTTCCCATATTTAGCCTGAGAGGCCGTCCTACACGAGAAGGTCTCCAGCAACATACCCTGGGACATTTCTCCATTTTCTAGTGGCAAACTGCAGCACCAAACAGATAGAAGCTCAGGAACCTTCTGTTTGGATGAGTCCTCCTTGGCTTATCAGTGGGGCAGGTTTTGTAATGCCTTCTACTCCTAGTCTGTATTTCACGTACCTTTGTTAGGGCCTAGCTGTATGCAATGTTTGAGTTCCTTGATTTAAAACTATGGACCTAAACTTCAGGGGGCCCTTGATATGGGAAGGGCCAGTCTGGTGTGGTTAGGAGCGGTGGACTCTAATCTGGAGAACTGGGTTTGGTTCCCCACTCCCTCACGTGCAGCCAGCTGAGTGACCTTGGGTCAGTCACAGTTCTCTCACTCAGCCCCACCTACCTGGCAGGGTGTCTGTTGTGGGGAGAGGAAGGGAAGGGACTGTAAACCATTCTGAAATTCCAAGTGAAGGGCAGGGTATAAATTCAATTTCTTCCTCCTCCTCCTAACTCTTCAGCCTGTGCCATTTCTCTCGTCAAAAATGCTTCCCCAGTTGCTTTAAGCCCCAGGAGGGGGAAAAAGACAAGAATAACATAGATACTTGTCTTTTGTCCTCCCCACTAGGGCTCGAAGCAGCTAAAGGGAGAAATGGGATTTCTGACTAGGGAAAAGGTGGGGTGGTGGAAGATTTTGCTCCCCCTTCCCCTTATCCTTACTGCCTCCCCAGCAATGGCTGCTTTTTAGGATCAGATTGCACAAGGAACTCAAACGTTCTACGTTGTTTGGTCCTTAGCAAGTGATGGTCATCACAACCACTTTCTTTCTGAGAAAGATCCCTTCGTTATGCCAGGCACTGAGTTTTTGGGGCAGAGGAAAAGCCACTTGCTGGGGCCACAGACTGCAGGGTTTGCAAGGACCACCAGAAAACTGTTCCTTGATTCTACCCCCCCCCTTCGCTTGTGTTTTGCCCCTCAGGAGGGAGGAGTCACCAGCTATCCCACGAATCCCTTGCGTCACTCCAGAGACGGTGCTGATCAAACCTGAGGAGCCAGAGCAGGTGTGTGTCCTGTTTAGCAGGGTTGGTGAAAGCAAGGCTGGCTGATAGTTCTCCAGGGAATGAAGGAAGGATTTCTTCCTGCAGTGGGCGTTTTCAAACTTTCTTGCACCAGGAAACCCTTTCTACAGTCTGACTTGACTGCCAAGGACTCTCCCGTGTGTCATAGAGGACTCTGGGATGTGTTATAGAGTCCATTTTCTGCTCACGCAGTGTGTTGGTTGCAGATCTCTTGGGCCTCACTGTTACCCTGTGTGAACTAAGGGTATGCCCTACATTGCACCCCACATTTGGCTGTGTCTGCACTTTTTAGGGAAAGTTGGTCATGGGTGGGCAAGCTCTGTCCAGGAAGCTTGTCTGTTATAGCTGCTCCTCATTGAGGAACCCCGATAAACTACTGAGGAGCCTCAGGGTTCCCTGGAAAACAGTTGGAAAACCATTGTAATAGGAGAAAGCCAGGAATGTGCAATATTCTGACTGTTTGGGCTTAATTTTAAATGCAGAGACTCTGCCCTGAACTGTTGTCTCAATTGTAATACTTGTGAGCATACAGAGAGCACTTTTTTCATGCCACTGAGTAACTGCAACCTGCCTCCATGCAGCTGGAGTTGCAGGAGAGGACATCCCAAGACCTGGGGGCATTGATTGCATCCAGGCTTAGAAACTAACCATCAAAGGTAGGGCTTAGGTGAGACCACCTAAGGCTGGATCTCAGAAACTGGAGGGGGTGGGGGGAGGTTGGTTGCAGCAGAATAGAAATCTGGTGTGTCTGTGTAGGCATGAAAAGGGTGGAAGGGGAAGCCCTGTAGTATTGCAAGGGCCGGCAGGGCCTAGGCCTGTGTTTAACAGGAGCTTTGGTTCTGTCCTGCATAGCCTTCCAAGGAATTTGATGAGGAGTCCCTCATCCCCAGCAGCCCTGCCACGGAGACCTCTGACAACATCAGCCCGGTGGCCAGTCCTGTTCACACAGGGTGAGTTATTCCCCTTCACCCCACAGGGCAGTGGGAAGTCCCCCTTGCCACACACAGGACTGATGAGCATAGGCGTGTATGGCCATATGAATGTTTGAAGCTGCCTTCCTTATACTGAGTTAGACCAGTGGTCCATCTCAGCTCAGTGTTGTCTTGCTCTAGCTGGTGGCAACAGTTTCAAGCAGAGATGCTTTTAACTGGAGATGCAGGAGATTGAACCTGAGTTCCTCTGCATGCAAAATCTGTGCTCTGAGCTCCGGCTTGCTAATGCTTCATGTGCTCAGGGTGTGCACTAGCAATGAGCATCTTACATACTGCTTCTGTCTTTTGTCTGTTGCTGGTCTTTCTCTTTCCACTCCTGCTCTGACCATATCTTCCCCTTCAGTCTTTTCTTCCTCCTTCTTTTTTTTAAAGGCTGCTGCTGGTGTGGCCCTCTTTACAATAGGTTGTAAGGGTTTAACTGCGTGTTGGGGTTGCAACACACCAGGTGAAGGCCAACAGCCAACACTAGCCATGGGCAAAGGGTAGGACTTGGTTGCAGGCTCCTCCGTCCCTAAGTTCCTTGGGAGCCCCATCATGAGCTAGAGATCTTTCTGCTAAGACTTAAAGCTGAGGACGTGGGAGTTCCATGACTGGATCTTTTAAAGCTCAATTACAACTGTGTGTGGCCCACATTTGGATTGGGGGCAAAAGGGGAGGGAGAGGGAGGGATTAATTGGAGTCCCTGTGCTGTTACAGCTCTTCAAAAGAAAAAGACAGGCAAAGAATTGGTACATGCCTTTGTTTGTTTAAAGGACTAACAGCAGAGGGTGTGGGGGACAGGTTTGGTTAATACAAACCATGGGAGGTGGAAAAGTTAAACCCTTCTCCCTTTCTCATGTGACCCTGATTCAAATAGGGATCCTGCTTAGCTGTAATTTGACTCGTTTGATCCTAAATCTTAACCATCACCACCACCTGCCACACACAGATTCCTCGTAAGCTTCATGGTGGACGCCCGCGGTGGTTCCATGCGTGGCAGCCGGCACAACGGTCTACGTGTCATCATCCCACCCAGGACATGTGCAGCACCCACACGCATCACCTGCCGTCTAGTCAAGCCTCAGAAACTGCCAGCACCACCCCCTCTAGCTGAGGAAGAAGGACTGGCCAGCAGGATTATCGCCCTGGGTCCCGCAGGAGCACAGTTCCTCAGGTGAAAGCTGGTGTTCTTGCTAGAGCTGTCGTTACAGATCTTGAACAAGGCTGCTGTTGTCACATAGGTTGTTTCTAGGTAAACTGGATAGGCTGTGTGAATCGGAGCCCCCGCCGTCACCCACCAATGATGTGCTTGGAGGCTGGGATGGGGTGTGGACAACGCCTGTTCTTACTTCTCTACCAGACAGATATGAAGCAGAACCAGTAGCACCAAAGAGATACAGGAAGTACCTTTTTGTTGCAATGCGCTTCCTGTTTGACCATTATATATTGGAGTAGCGTCTGGAAGCACCCTCATCCTGTAGGAGCTTGTTCCCCATTTTGTGGTTATTGTCTGGGGTCTGTGTTATGAGATGACCAGGCTGTCCTTGGATGTTTGCACAATCTAATATTCATCCATAAAACAAACTAAATTTGTCCATATTAAAAAGGACATATGGGCTGGAGTGTTAATATGGGATTTGTTCTAGGCCAGTTTTTGGCTTGTCCCATCAGTAAATCTGCGAAGAGCCTCATGGTCGCTTATTCCATCCTGTAGGAGAGGAGGAGGCAGTATGACTCCATTCCCTCTTCCGGCTGTTCCCTTAACCCTTTGAGGCAAAGAAAGCAGAAGCTGTCAGGATGGATTCATGCATTTCTGCAATGAAGCAGGACAGTCTTTTCCATATCTTCTTCCTTTGCAATCCTGCTAATGTTTGACTGAAGGAGTCATGTGGGCAGAGCCAATGGCTTGACTCCTGGTCTTCAAAATATCTCCCTCCTTCTCAGCTGCATGACTTCAGGCATGAGAGAATCCTAGCATTGTCCCTGCCTGGGTGCTTTCTGCAGCCAAACACTAACAAAGGAAACCAAATGCAAGTCGTTCCAATTTGTTTTTGGCCTGGAAATCTTGCCTTGAACGTCCCTCTGCTAGTGATTTCCAAAATATAGGCTGTAGACTGGGGACCTGTTGGTTTGAAGGAGCATTTCTTCTCCCCTCTGTAAGGGGGTGCTGAGTCCATGGGAAGGTAGAAAGAGGCCAGTGCCTCCCCTTCCCCCCCCCCTGCAGATGGGATGCAACATGAGGCTTCAAAGCTCCAACCTCTCATTCTGCATGTCTTGCTTAGTTTTCTTGTTCAATTCCTCAGTAAGAACAACATGACAGGCCTCCCGGGGTCCTAACACTTAGTTCTCCCACAGCCCTGTGATTGTAGAGATCCCCCACTTTGCTTCACATGGGCGCGGTGACCGGGAGCTGGTGGTGCTGCGTAGCGAGAATGGGACTGTGTGGAAAGAGCACCGCAGCCGTTATGGCGAGAGCTACCTGGACCAGGTCCTCAATGGCATGGATGAAGGTAGGGGTGCCTCGCAGGAGGGGGGAGGGTACGGCAGAAGCTCCAGTCTCAAAGAGCTAGGGTAGAGTTGGGAGTGTTTCTGTCTTGATATCTAGCATTAGGACATAAGAAACAACTACACTGAGCGGCTAGTGTCTTTTAAGTATCCCCCTGCACACTAAGATGAATAAGCAGGAAGGTTGCTCACTTAGATATCAGGAGCTGTCTTACAGCAACCCATCATCCTGTCTTAATACATTGGGTGACCAACTTGCAGTGGGTGCTGTGGAGAAAGCAGGTGTTGTTAGCATGCCTGGACCAGGGGACAGGGTGGCATAGATCCAGGCTTGAACTCTTGCCTGCCTCTCCAAGCACTGCAGTGTTGCTCTGCTGCTGGTTTGGTAGGATAGAGCAAGGAAAGCCTATTTATCTATCTATTTACTTATTTATTTACTGTAAGTATGCCTTTCCCATGGAATCTTAAAGCAGATTACATAGTGTAAAACAATACAGTAAAATAGGATGAGACATCCAATAATCAAGGCCATGGGATAAGGATTAGAAAAATAAAATGCTTCATATTACCCTGCAACTATTTCATCTGTCCTATGATGCCTTTACTCAGAAGGAAAAGGGAAAGAAATGTTTTCTGGTTGCAAGAAATGAAACTGACTTCTACTGACTCAATTCCACCCTGTTCCCCCCCTTACTTTGAGCCTTTTAAAATTTAATTAGTGTCTTGGTGTACATCACTAGATCTATGCCCCATGCCACACTAGCGGGTTTGTCATTGCTCATATTTTGGGAATTGTGGCTCCAGTGCTCTTGCCCCCATTGCTGCCATCCTTGCAGAACTGGAAAGCCTAGAGGAGCTGGAGAAGAAGAGGATTTGCCGCATCATCACCACAGATTTCCCTCTCTACTTTGTGGTCATGTCCCGCATATGCCAGGACCAAGACCTGATTGGCCCAGAAGGCGGTTGTCTGGAGAGCACATTGGTATCCATGGTGCAGGCCACATTCCCGGAAACAGCGGTCACCAAGAAGGTCAAGCTAGCTCTTCAGGTATCAGGATAATGCTTTCTCTGTAATGAGGAAGGGCAGAGATACTCAGTCGTGGGTGGGCAGGGATGTGTGCCTGTATGTGTCAGGGGCAGGCTTTGCAGACCTTTTAAAAAAGGCCACCTGCATTCTGCAGTCAAAGGAATCAAGCAAACTTCTGCATTAAGATTCAGGGCTCAAAAAACCTGGCATAGTTTGTAAAGGAATTAGATGAAGGAAAGGCAATAAGTTCTGCACAAAGCAATTGGTAGAGCCCTGTGCACAGGAAACAGTGTAGGACTGTGTGGATTCTGTGGATTTTATTTTGCAGAAGCATGGTATGAAATACAGCATCCTGGCAATTATGGCTTGCATTTTTTGGGAAAGTAAGGTGTTTTTTTTTTTTATGTAACAAAATAAGCTCAAAAAGGAGTGAGCAATTTCTGGTGAAATTTCAGAAACCAGAAGAGGAACTGAGTAGGATTTGTAGTAGCCAGAGTTGTTGCCTTTCCATGATTAGCAGAGGCAAAACACACTGTGCCAATGTGATTAAGTTGCAGAACAAATAGTGTCAGCAGTCAGCATTTCCTGGCACCATATCTAGGTGACCCTTGTTTAGTGAAATATTTGTATCCCGCCTTTTGAAGGGGGGGGGGATTTCAAGGTGACTCTCAAATAAAACTCATAACAACAAAAGTAACATTGTCATAAAATTACTACAATTTATGCAAACCAAGAAGATTAAACAGGATCATCGAAGCATCAAACATGAGAGAAACCTCAGTCAGACATAGATATGATATCAAATGCCAAACATCCTCCAGAGAAAACTGCCTTCACTTAATGCATAAAGGCTAAAAAAAATGGGATTTGGGGCTCAAAGCTGCTTTTGTCGGATGCTGCAAAAATAAAAAAAAGAATCTTGTGAAAACATAAAGACGAACTGATTTATTGCAGCGTGGATGTTCGTGGGTTACAGTTAGGCTGTAGCCTATGAAAGCCTGTGCCACAATGAATCAGTTAGTCTTCAAGATGTCACAAGGCTCCTTATTGTTTCAACACACAGGATATGCTATCCTGGCAGTTACTGTTGGAGGGGGAAAGTGAGAAGTGCTAGGCATTAATTCCCCATCCCTTAACCCTCGAGAATGGTGCGCAGCCCTCTTCTGGGTTTGGAGCTTTTGTCCAAAACAGCCTGTTGTGTCTCTGAAGGTGAGACAGAAGCTGGCTCTTCCTGCCCCTCCATTTGAAAGCTGAGCTTACTATGCCACCGAACAGTCCTTGCTTGTGCAAATATCTCCTAAGCATACCAGCTCTGCGTTGGGGCTGTCTGCTCTGGAGCCCTCAGTTGTAAGTGTGATATACACGAACAGCCTCAGTCTCTCCTGTCTCTGGCCTTGTCCTCAAGAGCAACCCATACTCCCTGAGCCCTGCCTGGCCCTCTGGCCCCACTTGCCATTCCTCCTCCCATTGCTTTGGCACTTTTGATGATGTCTCTCCTTTGCTGGGCTGACCTCCTGTTCGTTTCTCCTAAAGGCGCAGCCAGTGCCGGATGAGCTGGTGACAAAACTGCTGGGGAACCAGGCAACGTTCAGCCCAATTGTGACAGTGGAGCCACGCCGAAGGAAATTCCACCGCCCCATTGGGCTGCGTATCCCTCTGCCCCCCTCGTGGAGGGAGAACCCCCGGGACAGTGGAGAGGGCGATACAACCAGCCTCCGCCTACTCTGCAGTGTTATAGGTGAGAGTGATAATCTGGCATTAATACTTCAATTGGGGTGGGCTGTTCCTTTGAGGATAGCGGGTTCCAGGGTTCAGCCCTGCCCAGAAGTGATGCCACCTGCCTTGGTAGGCTTGCTCCTTAATTTTAAGGAAACGAGTATAGTCTGTAGCTACTCAGTGGTGGAAGACAAATACAAGATCAGAGTTATTCTCGCTTCTGGTGAGCGGAAATCCACATTGTCAGAAACTCAGGACTACCATCAAAAATGGCAACCCGGTTTCAGGTTTGTAACAGTTTGAAATTCTTCTTGTCCTGACTTCATTACATCGTGTGCTTCCCTGTTGCTGTTTCACATCGTTGCAGGGAAATGCTCCTAATGATGACATCTGGACAAGAGGTAAGTTGAATTATATGCTAAGGCAGGGGTAAACTTGACAGTAGCTGCCATTTTCGGCAGCAGCCCTGTGCTTCTGGTAACTTGTAGTTCTGCTCTCTGATACACAGTGTATTATAAAGGACATTTGCTTGCCTCTGATTGGCATGTGGTATTTTCTAAATGCACCATCCAAAGCAGTACCCTGGATATCAAAGTGAAAGACACCTGCCTGCTCTGAGCATTCCAGTGGGGCTTACATCAGAGCTGTTCCTGATGGTCAGATCTGCTCAGCTCCCACTCTGCGACATAAGAACATAAGAGACGCCAATGTTGGATCAGGCCAAAGGCCCATCCAGTCCAACACTCTGTATCACACAGTCGCCAGAAATACCAGTACCATCAGGAGGTCCATCAGTAGGGCCAGGTCATTAGAAGCCCTCCCACAGTTGACCCCCCCAAGCATCATGAAGACAGAGCATAACTTGCCCTAGAGTCCCTATCTATACCTTGTGGCTAATAGCCACTGATGGACCTCTGCTCCATATGCTTATCTAATTCCCTTTTTAAGCCTTTAACCTTTAACAGTGTCTGAAAGCTTTAACAGTGTCTGAAAGCTTTCACTAGAGGTGGCTCTTTCACCTTTTTGTGCCTCTTTGATCTTGACAGCAGAGCTGGGGATTTTTTCTGCATTTTCTAAAGCAAGGGACTAGTCTAAGTGTAGGACACGTGCAGGCTTTATTGAAGAATTTCTGTGAGATGGAGGCATAGGAATTCCGCAGAAGCAGCAACTACTTCAGTGCTTTGGATTCATAGCCTTGTTGGGGATGGGGGGTGGGTCTGAGTTCCATTTCTGGCCCCTCTGCCACAATCTCATTTTACACATACAGTTTCATGACTCATGGAAGGGAACTGTCTATTTTATTTCTGAAATGACATATATAGACATGGTAATGTATTTGCTACTCAGCCCCTAGGAAAGAGTTCCTATTTTTGCACCTATGGATTTGTAAACCAGGCCTCAGGAAAGAGTTCCTGTGTCTCCCCCCCCAAAAAAAATGTTTGGGCCCTGCCTCAGAGAACCTGAGAGAACCAAGGTGACATTTTGTGTCTCTGGATGAAGGCAGATGGCAGTGTAAAAATGGAGCACTCAATTTTTTCCCCAGCTGCTGCATAAGCCTGATTTCTTCCCAGCATCCCAGCTGAAGTGGCAGGGAAACATACCAGTGATTAGAATGCTGGCTCCGCTGTCAGATTTGCCCTTTCTCCCCTGCCTCTATGCTTCAAGCGAGCTCTCTGCCTCTTCCAAATGTCTTTTTTAAAGCGCCGCACAAACTTCCACACATTTATCTGTTCACTTGTTGCCTTACATATTTTTAAAAGAAAGAACTTAAGAACATAAGAGAGAAGCCAATTTTGGATCAGGCCAATGGCCCATCCAGTCCAACTCTCTGTCACTCAGTGGCGAAAAATACCAGGTACCATCAGAAAGTCCACCAGTGGGGCCAGGGCACTAGAAGCCCTTCCACTGTGCCTGCCCCCCCCCAACAGTGCATCACTTGCCCCAGACTGAGAGTCCCTATCTATACCTTGTGGTTAATAGCCACCGATGGACCTCTGCTCCATATGTTTATCCAATTCCCTCTTGAAGCCATCTATGTTTGTAGCCGCCACCACCTCCTGTGGCAGTGAATTCCATGTGTTAATCACTCTTTGGGCGAAGAAGTACTTCCTTTTATCTGTTCTAACCCCTACTGCCCAGCAATTTCATTGAGTGCCCACGAGTTCTTGTATTGTGAACTTTAAGAATATAAAGTTACAACAGAGACAGAGTACTTTCGGAGTACAACAGGGATAGAGTACTGAAAACTGCTGCTCACTGATTTATGATTATTATGCTCTGGCTGGATCTTTATCACTGGGTATTAATGTTTTTTATTATTATTATTGTGTTGTATTTTGTTAGCCAAAAAACCATTGGTGTGAATGGAGAAGAATATATGTATTTTTGCTGTAAAAATGTTGAAGGACCAGCGGATCCCCCTGAAGAAGCTTTATTGTGAAACGCTTAGGGATTTTTCCCCCCCGAATGATAAAATAGACTTCATTTGCACCACTGGTTCTTTGACTATTTTTTGTCTCTGTGATTGATCCTGCCATTCTGTTTTCTCCTTGTTTTGTAAGCTGCCTCAGGCAGGTTCTCTGGAGAGGTGGCACAAACATTTTCTAAATAAAACCAATAGTTTGGGGGGGGGTGTTCTTGGTGGATATCATAGGGAGTCATCACCTCCTATAACCAGCTTCTCCTTCATACTTGTTCAACCAGTTTTTTTTTTCCAGATCTCAAACTTGGAGAGGAATTTTTAATGTTTAGAGTGAAAGTGCTTCACTTGTCTAACTGTGTTGGGCCTGTCTTCATTCTCTGTCTCAGGAGGAACAGCTCCAGCACAATGGGAGGACATCACTGGGACCACAAAATTGGTCTATGCCAATGAGTGTGCGAATTTCACCACCAACGTGTCTGCCAGGTGAGCTAAGGCTCCTCTGGGATGCCTGACAGGTTAGGTGCTGCCCATTGTTCCCATCGGTGACTAGGCCATACTCTTGCGTAGAGGCCAACATGACACTATGACCTGCAGCAATACCAGCAGTAGGAAGTGCTGTGGCAAGCGGGGTCAAGGTTTCCTTCCAGTGATCGCCATAGTTAATAGCAGAAGCCAACATAATGTAGAAGTGACAGGAGTGAACTGGGGAGACCTGAGTTCAAATCAGCACTCAGCTGTAAACTTCACAAGGTGCTCATGGGCAAGTTACTTATCCCCCAGACCAGCTTTCCTCACAGCAGTTGTTGTGAGGTTTTAAAAAAATGGGATAACCCCAGTTATTCTGTCCAGGCCACTGCAGTTCTATGTATGGCCTGGATGTCTCCCTGTCTTCAGCCCCATCTGGTAATGCTCTATCTTGCCACCACAGGTTCTGGCTGGCGGATTGTCCGCGCACAGCTGAAGCCGTCCACTTTGCTACCCTGTTGTACAAAGAGCTGGCCGCTGTGCCTTACATGGCCAAGTTTGTGGTGTTTGCCAAAATGAATGATGCGCGGGAGGGTCGCCTGCGCTGCTACTGCATGACTGATGACAAGGTGGACAAGACCCTGGAGCAGCATGAAAACTTCACAGAAGTGGCACGCAGCCGAGACATTGAGGTAGCTATATTTTCTGGGACCAGCAACTTTCTGTTTAGCTGCCCTCTTTTGCTCAGTTTCCCACGCGTCCACTTGGGCAACTCCAGTTTTTAAGGAAGTTTGAATTTGTTTATGTAGCAGCATCATTGTCTTTGGTGTGTATACACATCTTCTTTGTCCTGCTCTTATTACTTATTATTATTTAGAAAATTTATGTTTATTATAACCTCTCAACCCAATAAGGGTCACCAAGGCAGCTCGCAAGTAAAAACAGAGCAGTATAAGAACGCATTATAAAATGACTTAGAAACCATAAATAATTACATACATATAAAAGCAAAGAGCAACTCAAAAAGACATCAGTTAAAGGCATAGAACAGGAAAGAAGGGTTATTGAAGGAATGCCATACAAAACAAAAAAGTCTTTGCCTGCTGGTGGAAGACTGTGATAGAAGAGCCCAGACCTAGGGAGGGAATTCCACAATCTTGGCACCACAACCGAAAAGGCCCACTTTCAGGTTGCCACCCACCTAACCTCAAATGCTGTGGGCACAATAAACCAGAATAGGCATTCATAAGAACATAAGAAGAGCCCTGATGGATCAGACCAATAGTCCATCTTGTCCAGCATCCTGTCTCACACAGTGGCCAGCCAGTTCCTTTGGATGGCCAGCAACAGGGCATAGAGGCCAAGGCCTTCCACTGTTGTTGTCTACTGGCTCTGGGATTCAGAGGCTTAGTTCCTCTTACTTTGGAGGTTCCCTTCAGTCACCATGGCTAGTAGCCCTTGATAGACTTATCCTCCATGAATCTGTCTAATTCCCCTTTAAAGCTGTCTATTCCTGGGGCCACCGCTATATACCCTGGCAGCAAATTTCACATTTTAATCACTCTCTGTGCAAAGTAATATTTCCTTTTGTCCATCCTGAACCTACTGCCCATCAGTTTCATTGAATGCCCTCAAGTTCTAGTACTTTGGGAGAGGGAGAAAAAGTTCTCTTTGTCAACTCTCTCCACCCCATGCATAATTGTATAAACCTCTATCATATCCCCCCCAGCTGTCTTTTTTATAAACTGAAAAGTCCCATACTTTTCAGTCTTTCCTCATATGGAAGGTGCTCCAACCCCCTCATCATCTTGGTTGCCCTCTTCCGTACTGTTTCCAGCTCTGCAATGCCCTTTTTGAGATATGGTGACCAGAACTGTTCACAATATTCGAAATGAGGCCACACAATAGATCTATACAGGGTCATTACAATTTATTCTCAGTCCTTGCCTAATAATCCCTAACATAAAGTTTACCTTTTTTCACTACTGCAGCACACTGGGTTGACACTTTCATTGAGCTTTCCACTATGATTCCAAGATCTTTTCCCCTCTCAACCTCAGCAAGTTCAGACCCCATTAGAGTATACTTGAAGTTGGGATTTTTTGTCCCAATGTGCATCACCTTACACTCACCAACAATGAACTTCATTTGCCACACTGTCACCCTCTCACCCAGTTTATGGAGGTCCTCTTGGAGCTCTTCACAGTCAGCCTTGGTTTTAACCATCCTTGGCCACTGTACTGTTCACCCCTAGTTTCAGATCCTTTATGAATAAATTAAATAGTACTGGCCCCAATACCAATCCTTGTAGGAACCCACTGCTTAATTCCCTCCGTTGTGAGAACTATCCACTGATTCCCACTCCTTGCTTCCTGTCATTTAACCAGTTTTTAATCCTCTTATCTCACAACTGTGAAGTTTACTCAGGAGTCTTTGGTGAGGTACCTTATCAAAAGCCTTTTGAAAGTCCAGGTATATAATGTCTACCAAGTCACCATTGCATACATGCTTGTTCACTTTCTCAGAGAATTCCAAAAGGTTGATGGCAGGACTTTCCTTTGCAGAAGCCATGCTGATTTTCCCTCAGCAGGCTTTGTCCCTCTTTGTGCCTAACAATTCTGTCTTTGATCACAGTTTCTACTAATTTGTATGGGGAAGACGTTAGGCTGACTGGCCTGTAATTTCCTGATTCCCCTTTGGATCCCCTTTTAGAAATTGGTGTAACATTTGCTACTCTTCAGTCTTCTGATACAGCAGCTGAATTTAGTGATAGATTACATATACTGGTTAGTAGATCAACCGTCTCACATCTGAGATCCTTAAGAACTCTTGGGTATATGCCATCAGGACTTGGAGATTTATAATTTCCTCAGTAGGTGTAGAACTTCATATCTGGCCATCTCAATTTGGCTCAGTTCTTCAGACTCCCTTCCTGAAAATAGGGGCTGTGGCATGGGTACATGCCCCACACATTCCACAGTGTACAGTGTACAGAGAAGCAAAAAAGTCATTGAGCTTCTCTGCCATCTTCCCATCTTGTTTGGCAAAAGCTTTATTTCTTTGCCATCCAAAGGCCCCACTGCTTCTTTGGCTGGTTTCCTTCTCTGGATATATTTTTTAAAAAAAATTATTGTTTGTTGCGATGCTTTTAGCAACCCACTCCTCAGAATCTCATTTTGCATGCCGAATTATAGACCTACATTTCTTTTGCTAGAGCCTGTGGTCCCTCCTGTTCTGTTTATTGGGGCAGGCCTTCCACTTTTTAAAAGAAGCCTCTTTACTTTTTATAGCTTCCTTGACTTGCGTTCTTAGCCATGCAGGCCTCCTATTAGACTTGGCAGTGCCTTTCCTAACCTGGGGAATGCATTCTATTTGGGCTTCGTGTGGTTTTAAATAGATTCCAAGCATCCTCTAGGGATGTGACTCTCTTGTATTTCCCCTTCAGCTTCCTTTTTACTATTCCCCTCATTTTTGTAAGGTTCCCAATTTGAAATAAAATGTTACAGTTTCGGACTTCGGGGGTAACTCTCCATTGACCTGAATGCTGAACCTATTAGCATTGTGATCTCTGTTTCCAAGTATTGTAACAGCCTCTACACCTTAAGGTGTCCTTAGGGTACGCTGGCCCCAAGCTTTATAGGGCTTTAAAGGTCAATACCAGAACCTTGAAACAAATTGAGAACCAGTAAAGATGAGCCGAGATTGGAGTGATATGGTCCCTATGACCTGGTCCAGATAACATCCTGGTATTCTGTACCAATTGGAGCTTCTAAAGACTTGTTAAGAGCAGCCCCAGTTAGCGCACATGACTCTAGACTCTGGTCAAATGGGTTTTGTGGGATTTCAGAGTGTTTCAAAAACCTATAAACCATGTTTAGCAGATGTGAAAGTGGAATGAATATACACACCATGGCAATGACATCTCTCTCATAATGGGGGGGGGGGCAGGAATGAAGGGGTAGAGAAGAATGGGTATTTGCCAAGAAAGATACACAAAATGAAAGAACATTTTAAAGTAGTAGAATCTTTACACAAACTGATATATAATTGCCAGTTGCACTGAAACTCCTTAAGGGGTTCAGGACATGTAATTTGTCCCATATAGATTTTTTTTCTCCAAGATTACAGTGCTTCTCTGGCCTCTGAAATTGCGTCCAGCAGCACTGATGCTTTCTTCAAAAAACCTGAATCTATACATGCTGGGTACCTGAATAGGGATGGGAATTGGGAGTACAACCCTTGTTAGATTCTAAATTTTCTACTTTTATGATGCTGCACTTACTACATTTTTAGTAGAATTGTTTTGGAGGAGCAACAAAGTAAAGCTTAGCATTATGTAACAAACACAGTATAGTAACAACTATAACAACAATTAATAGGAACTGCTCAGTGTACTAAGCTTGTGGCTACTTCCCCAGGTAGTGGAGGGGATGCCGCTTCACACGGAGCTCTCAGGGAACCTGGTGCCCATCAAGAAGGCAACCCAACAGCGCAGCTTCCTGTTCCAATCATTCCGAGAGAACCGTCTCATCATCCCAGTCAAGGTGAGGTTCTGGAGTGGGACTACAGGCTGGTTGTGATCCACTGGTCCAGCAGGATGCTTATTTCCTCTGTGTTCTGGGGCTGCAGGTGCGGGACAGCAGCCGGGAAGCGAGTGGCTCGTTGTCTTTCCTACGCAAGGCCATGAAGTACGAAGAGCTGCAGCACGTCCTCTGCCATTTGAACATTACAATGCCACCCTGCTCCAAGGTGAGTGGCACCTTGGGCCATTCCTTCTCCCTCCTCCTCATTCCATGGCTCATGAGCACTTTGCTGGCTTCCCTTGATGCTTGGCAACACATGGAGAGGAGTGACCTGCTGGACCCAAATTCTACTCTTCTTCCCCACAGTTGCATAACACAGTCCTTCATTAGCCATCCACCCATCAACACATACACGTCCACTTGTATCTGAGCTGTCCATATTCAGAAACTTATTATTATTAAGCATAGAATTCCATATTTGATTTATTAATTTTGTATTTATTTACTTTATTTATACCTCCCCTTTTCCCCCAAAGAGGACCCAAAGCAACGTACATTGTTCTCCTCTCCTTCGTTTTATTCTCACAGCAACCCTGTGAGGTAGGTTAGGCTGAGTGGCTGTGACTTGCCCAAGGTCATCCAAGCGAGCTTCCATGGCAGAGTGAGGATTCGAACCTTATTCTCCAGATCCTAGACTGATACTCTAACCGCTAGACCACAATGGTTCTCAGCTTTTTTTTTTTGCTTTTTTAAAAAATAATTGATGGTTTGGAATTTGTCTTGAATACTTTTGCCCTTTTTTAGGACAGAAATAGCACTAATAGAAAACTCTCAATATTCCAACTGAAGCAGGGATACTGTGTATGAATATGGAATGCTGCGGAAAGTTCTGGGCCAAGGCAACTCCCATTATATGTCAAGAAAAGCTGAATACAGTGACTTGCATGAGACCCACTTGACTAAATGTGCTTATTCTTCATAATTCATTTTACGTTTGGTACTTATGGAAACGCTGGACTGCTCCTCCCCTAACTTTAGGTCCTCCATCCGAGCTGCTAAAGTTACATGCTCTTTAAAGCTGTGTTCTTCAGAGGGACCAGAATATTTTTTCTAAATGAAAAAAACCTGAAGTATAAATGTCTTCCAAGTCACCACAGTAGTTTGTACAAAAACAAACACTGTAATAAGCACGTTAGCATCTTAAATCCAGTCATACCAGAATAGTTCTGTAAACCTATCATTCAGGACTGCTACTGGTGATTCTACCATTAAAATGTATTTATTTATTATATTCAGTTTATTATATTCAGTTTATTTATTTATGATATTCAGCTCACCCTTCTCTGCATAGCCGGGTTCAGGGTGGGTAACATCCGTAGTGGAACAACATTAAAACAATACATATAAATTAATTATTAAACAATAAAACCCCAAGTAATAACACAATAAAAACTGAACAGTCAGATGGCAGCAATACATCTTGGTGGAGACTATGGATCATGTGTGCTCATGGATGTTGGAATGATAATATTGCTGGTGAACATAAGCACAGAGAAGGGGAAGGCTGATATCAATAGAATTTCCCACCGCCTCAACCATAGGCCTGGTGGAACAGCTCTATTTTATAGGCCTTGCGGAACTGCATTAATCTTCACTTGTTAGTTAATTTGATCAGTCTTCTTAGCACAGAGTAAAATTTACGCATTCCTGAGTTAATCCAGTTTATGCCGAATAGAATGGGCCACAAGCACTCCAGAGCATTGGAACAAAATTCCCACAGAGAATGACTCAAGCAAGTGAGTCCAGCTGCATGTTATGGAAGAAAGCAGAACACAGTGAACCAAAGCCCCCACCTCCAAAATGCTTTGAGTTAGGCAACCTTCCCTAGAATGTTCTTGTACTGGAGACATAGATGGGGGTTTTTTTTCTGTTGGTTTTGTCGGATGGTTGGCAGACTGAATGTCTGGCTCAGGCTGTCTTCCTGCCCCTGGGAGATTAGAGACTCACCATTGCCTTTCCTTTTTGTCCTCAGAGTTCCGCCAGTGAGGAGCGAAGGAGAACGCTGACACCATTAGCCCTGCGTGAGAGATATAGCCTGCTCAGCGATAGCACTCTGGGTAAGAGGCTTATGGGCCAGCAAGCAGGGTCTTGCATTGTGTTGCCCCCTCTCACTTGTTAGGGACCACATGAAGCATGTTCTTGGAGCAAAAACCACATGCTGGAGACCCATGTTCATATCCTCAGACATGTAACTGAATGTCAAAGTTCAGCTTTGGAGAAGGGGGGGGAGGATTTTGGTTCACTGAGTTGGGGAAGAGAAGGTTTGACCCCCACCCCACCCCTGACACACCATGGTTTCTCCAGTCGGAAGCCCCCTCCTTGGCTGATTTAAGCTCAGGACAGAGGGAATAAAACAGGTATCTGTAGGTAGGGCTTGCTTCACCACTAGGAGGAGGAGGAGAGGAGGAGATTAGATTTCACTCTTTTTGTAAGCCCTTCACTCGGAGTCTCAGAGTGGCTTACATACTCCTTTCCCTTCCCCTCCCCACAACAGACACCCTGTGAGGTAGGTGGGGCTGAGAGAGCTCTTTCCAGAACTGTCCTTGAGAGAACACCTCTGACAGAACTATGGCTTGCCCAAGGTCATCCAACAGCTGCAAGTAGAGGAGTGGGGAATCAAACCTGGTTCTCCCAGATTAGAATCCGCACACTTAACCACTACCCCAAACCAATGTTCCCTCTAAGGTGAGTTAGTGTGAGCTGACTCACAGTTTTTTAGCCTCCGGCTCACACCTTTTTGTCTTAGCTCAGGAAGGGTGGCTCCAGAGCGAACTGATTTATGCAGCAGCCAAATCGTTTGCTCACACCATTAATGTCAGTAGCTCACAGAGTAGACTTTTTGCTCACAAGACTCCACAGCTTAGAGCAGTGATGGCGAACCTTTAAGAGACCGAGTGCCCAAACTGTGATCCAAAACCCACTTATTTATCACAAAGTGCCGACACGGCAATTTAACCTGAATACTGAGGTTTTACTTGAGAAAAAACCACTCATACATTAACTTAAGATGATCCAAACAAAGTAAGGAAAGCAATCCCAAATGCTTTCATTTACTTAAAATTATTTGGCAGAGAATTCGACACTTTAATGATGGTCTGGGCCTGGCTGGGGCGATGGCACGCGAGCCCACAGGGAGGGCTCTGAGGGCCACCTCTGGCACCCGTGCCATAGGTTCGCCACCACTGGCTTAGAGGGAGCATTGCCCCAAACTGGCTAGGCAGACCTAGACAGTCGTCTAGGGCACCAGATTTTGAGAGGCTCCAAAAAGGCAAGAGGTGCCTCCTGTTTTCCATGTGCCTTTCTTCTGGAGGCCGAAGGGAAGTTGTAACCTGCCTGCCATCCTTCCTTCCCTTTCTCCCAGCCTGCCCAAGCGCTCGCAGTCTTCACAACCATTGCCCAGTAGCATCACCGGGAGAGCTGGCAGGGGCTGGAGCTGCCCTGCTGCTGGAGTCAGTGGGGGTGGGGGGTGGGAAGCAGCCATCGAAAGAAGAAATTTGCGTAGGATGCAACCCCCCCCCCCCAAGGTGTCTGTTCCATTTCCCTATTTGGGGGTTTTAAGCAGTCTTGGAGGAAGGTTCATTTCTGGTTGGTGAAAGATCAAGGGCAGTTAACCCCACCCCACCCCTGGCACTGCATCCCTGATCCGTTTCCTACACTCACTGTTCTTTGCAGCTCAGCTATTGGGAATCTGAACATATAGATGACATGCGTGAACTGGCCCTCATGAGAAGGGAAGTGGAGAGTAGTAGGTTTGTTTATTTAAATAGAAGGACCTTTGTCTCAAACATGCCCCTGATTCTCTGAGTGGCTTCCTCCTCCCTCGGTGAACGCAGGCCCACCTAGTGGCAGCATGCCAGTCATGGCATTAATTGTAAAAAGGAGGAAAACAAACCTTGGAGGGGGGGCGGGATACTGAGGAAGGAGGAGATGATGTAATCTGCTGCAAGATAACCTTTACTTTAGTGTTCAGAAAACTTTGGAAAATGTAAAGGAGCCAGCCAGATTTTCTAGAAACCAGCTTGGAGCAAAGGAGAGCTCTGGAATGCTGACAAGCAAATTTGCTAGTTCCAAAATGCTATGTGACACAACAGTTTTCTAGCCAAGGTGGTTTCATGTTTATTGTGTAGTGGGTTGACCGCATGGCGAGGCCGCTGCGGCACGCATAGCATCCTGCACGATTCACTGGCACACAACAAAAGACAAAGGGGAACAGCCGGTGGGCCAACTATATACACATTAGGGGACACCCCCTAGGTCCTGTTGGTGGGTTTGAATCTCCTGCCAACATCCCATTGGTCCCTCCATGGAGAGACCAGGAGCCTTGTCCCCATTGTTCTTCCAGAGTCAAGCTCTGGTGTATTCGCTGGCCCCTGGTAGCGGTCAGCGGACACAACATCATTGGATCAGCACTAGGGTTCAAATCTCCACTCAGCGGCTCACTGGGTGATCTTGGGACTGTCTGTCTGTCTGTCTGTCTGTCTGGAGGAAGGGAGAGCTACCCTTAACTCTTTAAAGGAAGATAATTGAATAAATAAGTCCTGACACTGAATCTCTGCAGGTGGACAAGAGTATTTCTGCAGAGGCACCTGACTATTTTTTTTTTTTTAAGACCAGGTTTACACCATCTTGCCGACATGCTAGCTTTTTCTGCATGTGGAATGCTGGCATGTTGGTGGGGGGTAGGGTGCTAAGGCTGCCTTTTCCCTGACATGCCAGTTTCCTAAGTATAGGTGTAAATATAGATTTGGAGAGGTGTTTGTGTTGACATTTTAATGTGGGGAATCAGTGAAACACTGAAACCCACTGGCATCTGAAATGATGAAGTCCATTGATTAGATTCCCCCCCCCCCCACACCTTTTTATAAACCCCCCCCCCCCCAGTCCTTTTTAAAAAGGTCTTGGAGTGAGCCGGCTAAATTTACTTGAATAGCTTAGACCTGGTTTTTACATTGCCAGAGAAGAAGATGGCAGAATGGGCCACCACTTTGGGCTGCAGGTGATGGATTCCAGGTTGAATGTGGCTTTGCATTAAAAACAAGAAGTCCACGCTAATACAAAACGAGTACAGCAGGGATAAAGGTTCTATCCCACCCCCCTTTGTTTGCTCTGCTGGTTTTCCATTTGCAAAGAATTTCTCATGTAGGGGAGCCTTCCGAAGCATCAGTCCTTCTGTTGCAGTCCATTCTTCTCACCACGCTCTCCTGCATGTGTAAATCAGGAGGCTTGCCAATCTCCAGGTGAGGGGTTCTCCTGATCTCCACACTACAGAGATCAGTTCTCCTGGAGGAAATGGCAACTTCACCCCTGCTGAGCTCCTTCCCCTACTCAGACTCCACCCTCCCCAGGCACTGCTCTCAAATCTCCAAGAATTGCCCAAGCCAGAGATGGCAACCCTAAAACTAGGTCTTTCTTGGTGATCATGAGAGGCATTTTTCCTTCTCATGCCTTCATATAACTGAGGTCTGGCTGAAACAGGCTGCAGCTCTGAGCCTCAAATTAAGCTCTGCTTGAGAGTGAAGCCGGGCAGTGAGAGTGATTGAATGGAGTTGTGTTTTGTGAAGGAAAAGCTTCCTTCTTGCCTTGGATGGAATCAGCAACCTTCAGCATCTTTTGAAATGGTCTTGAAAGTACCCTAAATATGCTGCCATGAAAACCCCCAGTTGTGACCAGACACCCAGAGTTTTGCACCTTGTCTTCACCTGTGAGTCATTCTGAGTCTTTTGCACCCTCCCTAGGCTCATTGAGCAGCACGGAGAAAGACAAGACTGACATGAAAATGGCTGTCATTGCAGAACACCTGGGCCTTAGTTGGGCAGGTGAGTGCCGCTCTGGTGGGGAAGGGGTTGGGCCTCACTGGGCTCATTTTGGGACATGACAGGGCAAGCCTTTTGGACAAGATTACCCTGGTTTGACTGTAGGGACTGCTTTTCAAAGTCTGGGCTGGGAAATTTGCTGGCGCTTTGCCTAGTAAAATACCCAAGGACTGTGTATGCCCAGACCTGAAAAGAGGCTTCAAGCACAACAAGGGAGTAGGCAACTTGCAACTCAGCCTCTGTGATTGGCAGGCAGTAAGAAGCTTCTGGATTGGTCAGGCCTAGCATAAATAGATGGAGCCTGCTTGGCTGTCTTTGCTTGTCCAACAGAACAGTCTTTTTGGCCTGCTGCATGTTATGCTCCCGTTTGAGCCCTCACTCTTTGGTTTGGTTTTGATTTGTCTCATCTTCTATGAGTTTGCTTTTAGCTTGTGTGCAGTTTCATGTTATATTTGCAAAACTGGTTCAAGGCACCAGTTTGTTAAGCAAGCTATAAATACATTAAAGAATAAATACATTCAAGAAAATACATGTTGGCTGTCACGGGCTGTCACCCTCTGCGGCTTCATTGGGGCCAGGTGTAGATTCTGCCGGAATTGGGAGCTCATGCTCAGCAGCACTCAGAAGTTCTGCTGTGGCCGGGGTGCTCATCCTCGGCAGTAGTCATGACATGTGCTCCCCAGTCTGTTTCATCTTTCACATGCCTGGCAAAAAGAAAAAAAAAGGTCCCGAGGTTTCTCAGAGGAGGGATCTGTGTTCTGGAGAAATAGAACCGAGTGCAGTGTGCACAGGAAGGGATGTGTGCAACTAATTCTCTGTTGTGTGTTCCTCTGCCTCCTCCCCAACTCTCTCCAGAACTGGCCCGGGAACTGCAGTTTGGGGTGGATGACATCAATAGGATCCGCGTAGAGAACCCCAACGCCCTGCTTGAGCATAGCATGACCCTGGACCAGTGGTGGTGGGCAGAGTGCCAACAGTGAGTGTTGAGAATGGCATCGGGGGCACATGGGCTTGAACTCTTTGGCCAGGCAGATGCCACAGGACCTTAGTCCTTAAATCCACAGAGACTTCTCCTTGCCCCAAATGTCCACATTTGACCCAAGGCCTTGCTTGGGTGCCAGCCAACTTCCCTTTTAACTGGACACTCCCTCACTTTGCATCCCTCTCACATGTGCCATGTTAAATTGAGGTTCTTTATTTTTTCCTGTCTTTTTTTGTGGGGGTTCCCAACTAAAGAAACACTCACAAAGCAACTTTCAGATAAAGACAATAACGTTAGTTAAAGTTACTACCCTTTAGCTGCCTCTGTATGGAATGGCAGGCTGCTGAATAGAGGCACCATCTGCATGTGTAGCTAACCTTACCCCTTTGTCGGTCTCGACCGTGCTCTGATCCCCTCCCAGGGACTTTCCCAAGGCTTTTGTATGCAAGCACAGAGGATGCTTTTCTGCCCTTGCTTAATTCAAAATATGCCTCCTTTAAAGAAAGAAAGACGAGTAGAAGCTGACCAGAGACAGAGGCCAATCCTGGCACCATGAAGTGGCCTGGAAGTTAGTAACTGCTGGTTGCTCCAGTATCTTTAAATATGTCCCCAACTCCCTGCACCCTCCAGAAAGCAAGCAGCAGCATTGTGCGTCATCGGATGCTTCTAAACTGTTTTCAGGGGTAGCCCACAGATAGCACATTCTGGTAGTCAATCCTAGAGGTTGTTCTTATATAACTATGCACAGTTCTGGTTCTTGCTGTGTTTTCATTGTGCTCCTCCTTCTTACTGATCAGGCTTTCTGCTTTTAGTCTGGGGCTCTGCTTCTCTTGGATAATGTGTTCCCCCCTTTCTATTTTTGCAGTGGAGAACTTATACACAGCCCTGCGTAACATTGATCGCAGCGAGATCATCAACATGCTGGAAGGCTCTGTACGGCAGAGCCGCAGTCTGAAGGGTGACAAACGCTACCCGCATAGGGACTACTCCCTGTCACCTTCCCAGATGAATGGTGAGTGCCTGCCCAGACCTGCTGAGCTATTTCGGTAGCACCGGATCCTTGCTAATCCACTGGTCCTGAAGTTGCGTGGGCAGGCTAGGCCTGAGCAGGCTTTATAAGTGTGGCTGCCCTTCCTTCTGGACCTCTGCTGCCTCTCCGGCCTGTTCTGTGGTTCCTGAGATCCGTTCAGCCACCAGCTACTGCCTGCTAACTTTCCCTGCTGGCAGCCCCTTCTTCTGCTAGTCTCAGCTAGAACGGTCCAGCTTGGACATCGAATGGATGAAATGCACAAGGTTGTGGGATGCCACGGTCTGATCAGGTACTGCAGTGTGGCTTGGTATCTTGCAGGGAAGCAAAGCAAGGGGGTGGCTGGAAGTGCAAATGAAGTTGGCGTTAGGAATAGCTAATGGTGCACAGGTTAGTCCCAGCACTGAAGGGGGAAGGAGGGGTGGTGCAGTGGCTCCCACTCCACCAGCGCAGTGCAAGAAGGGAACAAAGGCCTGCCCAAGACTGGAAGCGGGAGAGTGCCTGGGTCCCTGTGGCCGCACTGTTCCTCCTTTCCTTCGTTTCAGAAGCGCTTGAGGGAGTTGGTGCCGTCTTTTAAGCCTGTTTCGATCAGCCGTACAGCTGTCTGAGTGTTTCTTGTGACACGAATTGATGGGAGAGCGAGAGCCTTGTGTGCTGTTGCCACTGAACTCAGTGAAGAAGAGCAGAGAAAAGGGCAGGGCAAAATCAAGAGGCTAAAGAAAGAAAAAGCAGAGAATGAAGAGAGGAGAGTGCAGAGAAACAACTGGGGAAAGCTGAGCTGGAAGTTGCCGAAAGGCCTGTGGTGGTACAGAGGGAAGAGAAAGAGTGCCGTAGCATGTAGAGAAGAAGGGGGGGGTACTTGGTGGGGGCAGAAAGAACAGTGAGTTGGGGGAGGAGAGAAAAGAGGCGGTAGCTGAGAAATCAAGGTGCAAAGAGATTAGCATGTGGGGACAGAAAAGGAGCTGACAAGAGGTAGGGATGTGTCCATCCATGGACTGAGGGAGGCGAGAGAGCAAGTGCATGAAGTGGGATACAGTGAAGAAAATGGAGGTGGGCATAGAGTGGATTACAAGAAATATGCCAAGTTGTAGCAAAAGTGTTTTCCCCCCTGTGGTTAACTAAGCAATGCATCCCTCTTGAGTTTCAGCTTGGCCCTTGAATTGTTAGGAGTTGTGCTGGAAACTCTCCAGCACAGGAATGCGAGTTTGAGTGTTGAGAGGGGCCTCCTGTATGGATGCTGGACATTGATAGGGCTCGATGGGTGCAGATCTTGAGTCGAGATGGGGACAGGCACGGGGCACTGAGGCAGAAGGTGGCCTTGTGACCAAGATCCTGTGCGCCAGTTGTAGATTCAGAAAGAGATCCATGCAGAATTAGAGATTTTGGTGTGGGGTAGTGGGCGCTGGTGCAGGTGCAGGTGGGCAATGCGATGGTCTGGAGTGGTGTACACGGTGGGTGTCCCAAATGCACACTGGCTCTTTCTCTTCTTCCCTTCCCCCTCCCAGTATGGTCTGCGCCCTCCCACGTGCTGTCTAGCCACAGGGGGCTTGCAAGCTCCTCCAGAGTTGGCTGGCCAGTAGGTGCCTGTCACCTTGGTCTTCTGGCCTCATCCTGACCTCTCTCCCGCCTCCTCTGCCTACTCCTCCTCTTCCTCCGTTGCCTGTCTCCACTGTCTGTGTCTCTTTCTCTTGTCTGAGCTGAGCCCTCTGAGAGCTTTTGCCTTGCTGTTGAACGCATGATGCGCCCGACCTGACCTGGCATGCCTTTCCGTGCAGCCACAGCTGACTGTCTCTACTCTGTCCTTTGCTGCTACCCCTTTCCTGGCTCTCTTTCCCTCCCCTCCCCCAGCTGCTCTGATGAAACAAGAAGGCCTGCTCCCCAAGCCTGCCAATCCCCAATCCCACCTGGACTGATTGGCTCCCAGAAGGGACCACCCCCAATGCCCTTTCCCAGCACTGCTGAGTAGGCAAAGTCCAGCAGGCACTGAGCAAATTCTGCTAAAGTCTGCATGGAGCAGAGGTGGCCCTAACTCTCACTGCATCCGTACAGGGTGGGGTGGGGGGTGGGAACTTATTTCCTTTGCCCTCTGGCCCTTTGGCTGTTTTGTTTATTTAGTGTCATCCGTGTACTCAGAAATGTATTACAGAGTTTCATAAGCAAAACATGACAAGTCTCTGCCCCAAGGAGCTTGCAGTCCCAATCTTGAGAGAGGGAGGACAACGAAGGGAGAGGAGAGACTTCAGACCAGCATAACGGGATGGATTTGAGTAAAGGCAGCAATGACACCAGCTTGGAAACAGCGCAGATGGAGAGGGGAGAAGAAAGCTCTTTTCCAGGGAGCCTTTGAGCTTTGCAGTCCCTATCCCCAGCTGTAACCGAGCCCGGGATTGTGGGGGGGGGGAGTGTAAGTGCATTTACTCACATCCCTCCTTTGCTATCCTGGTCTCTCCTTCCCCTCCTCCCCAGAGCTCAGCCCTTTTCACAGGAGGGCAACTAGGGACTGCGCTCCGTACAGGTGTCCTACAGATCCAGGCTTTCTGCCAGCTGTGACCCAAGTGCCCCTGGCAGCTATAGTGTGCCCTGTTCATCTTTCCCAAAAAGCAAGGGGTTGCCAGTGGGAACACTTTTTGGTGCAACAGTGGATGTTTTTGGTCCCAGGAAGAGCCAGAGAACCCTTTCTGTTGCATTTGCTGCCAAGGTCAAGACCGCCTTTGGGGAGTGGTGATCGATTGCAGGCTTCTTGGGCAATCTATGTGGAAAATCCCAGGGCCAAAGTCACTGCCAGAGTGACCAGCCAGGAGCGGCTTTTTTTTCTTAGGTTCAAGTGCAGTGAAGAGGTGGGCTGGCACCTCCCAATATGCTTTGGAAAGGCAGAATGCATCAAAGAGTTCCTGTCATGCACAAACGGGCTCAGCCCCAGCTTAGCAAAGGAATGGATGGGGGAGGGATGGGGGGGCCCAGCCAAGCAGGGGAGCAAGACGCTTGGACATTCACACCCGGTGGCTAATTTCTGATAAAGGAGGTATGAGAGCTGAAGCTACTGATCCCTAGGGTTGCCAACTCTCTTGGAAGAAAAAAATGTCCTGTCCTTTAATAGAAGCATACTGGGATGTTATTTACCAGGCAATGATGTTTACCTCCATGCCATGAAAAGTTTCCATCTGACCATTTTCACACATTGAGCCTCTATTAAAGGGACAATATGTTTTTCTCCAGGCCTCTTGACAGGGTTGCCAGTCTCCAGGTAGAGCCTGGAGGTCTCCAAGAATTTCTCCTTCTCTCCAGATGACAGAGATCAGTTCCCCTGGAGAAAATGGCTGCTCTGGAAGGTGGACTGCGTGACAGTATACCCTTCTGAGGCCTCTTCCTCCCAGAAACCCTGCCCTGCGTGACAGGCTTTACCCCCAAATCTCCAGGGATTTCCCACTCTGGAGTTGGCAACCCTACGAATGTTTGGGGTTAGACAGATGGTTAATAAAATGAATAAGCACCCCTGCAAGGGCCAAAAATGATGCCACGTGGAAGATCTATGACTGGACCTCCAGATGTTTTGATTTGTATTTAAAAGCAGCTGTGGTGGATTCAGGACAAAGGTGAGAGCCGCAGAGCCCTTGTCTGGACCATTCTGCAGGAGAGAAATTTAAAAAGGGGAGAATGAAAGAAAGCTTCCAGTGAAACAAATATTCTGGATAATCTCAACGTCTTTAAAATTAAAAAAAAAAGTCAAACGTGTAGCAGTCCACTACGTCTCAGGCTCCAAAAGTCATTCTTTGGAGCTTGTTAGAGAATTCAAATAATCTATAGAACATTTCTTTCTATAATCATCATCATCATCAAAATGTTGACCTTGAGTATTTTGGTTGGAAAGAGAATAAATATATTTCACAAATAATAATTTAGAAAAATATCAGGGCGTGCTACATGCAAGATTTTTTTTTTTGGTAATTGATCTCAAAGACTTGAAGGGAGTTTTCATATGCAAGGCTTAAAGCTTTTGGGGTCTATTTATTTTTGCAAAGAGCCAGTCTGTAATGCAAATATAAAACATACCTTGGCCAGAATTCTCATTTGTGTTACTAACGCCTCTCCTCCGCTTCTTGTTCCATGCTAGTGATAAGCAGGCATTCACAGGAGTGATACATGCAAGGGGGAGAGAGGCACAGAGGTGATTTGAACCTTCCGTATGAAAACACTAGACGATGTGGTGTTTGTTTCATTGTTAGGCTTTCTTTTTATTTTCCCTCCCCTCCCGTCATTTTTCTTTTGCCCCCTGCCCTTCCGAGTCGAAGTTTGTTCCTTGCCCTGCAAAGGCCATGTTAGTAGAATGATTTTGGAAGGAAGTTTACAACATAAAGCTAGGAACAATATAAAACTAGAAACCTCACTTCTGGTTTCCCATTTGAAAGCAGCCATTGAAGTGTTAGCAGGGCAGGATCATGACGCAGTGTAGAGAGGGTGCCTCTTTGTACCCTGATGTTTCCTTGGGGCAAACTCTGTTTGCCTAGCTTTGGTTCCCCCCACCATGGCTTTATTCATTTGGAACCTGGAACTGGGACCTCTTGGTTCACAAATGTGTGGGACACTCCCAGCCCCCACCCCACCCGAGGGCCGGGTCTGCGCGTGCTGCCCTCAGTCCAGCGTGTCAGTCTGTTGCCCTCTGTCTGCCCATGCAGGTTACGCTTCGCTGCAGGACGAGTTGCTCTCCCCCGCCTCCCTGCATTACGCACTGCCCTCCCCGCTGCGTGCCGACCAGTACTGGAGTGAGGTGGCCATCATGGATGCCATCCCCATGGCCGCCACCGAGCAGGACGCCCTCATGGAGATGTCCGACATGCAGGTGTGGTCCTCGGGTCTCACGCCCTCGCTGGTGACTGCCGAAGACTCCTCCCTGGAGTGCAGCAAGGCCGAGGACTCGGATGCCACGAGCGAAGGCCGGTTTCCGGGGCAGCTCCTGGAGGATGCGCATGGCCCCGACCCGCTGGGCTCCATGGACCTGGTTGAGGACGACACAGTGGATTCAGACGCCATGAATGGCCTGATGGACACACTAGAGCAGGAGGAAGGTCAGAGGTCAGAGGGGAGGAGGCCAGATGGTGAGCACCAGGCGGGGCCGCTGGGGGGGCCAGGTTCCCACGGTGAAGTCTCTCTCATTTCAGGCCAGCAGAGGGTGCAGGCCCGCATCACGGATTCACCCACAGTCAGTCGTGTCATAGACAAGGGCAAAGACAGGTAATGAATCACTCTACCCACAGGGGGAGGGGGTGGTGGCTCAGACTAGCAGAAAGAGGAATGGGGGACATGGGTGGAGGGGTAAAACCACCTTTGAGCACACAATCTTGGTCTGTGCCCCAGATCAGAATCAGAACAGGGCCAAGGCAGGTTTTAAAGCCTCTTTTTAAGACATTGGTAAAATTATAAAAGAGTATAAAAGTAGTATAGCTTTAACAGAGCCAGTGTGGCATAGTGATTAGAGGGGCTGGACTGTGACTATAGAGACCCAGTTTCAAATAAGCATGAAGCTCAGTGGGTGACCTATGGCCAGTCATTCTTGCTCAGCTAAACCTATTGCTGAGGAGTAGTTGGACCATTACAGTAGATCAGTGCTACTCAGTGGCTTGGGAGTCACATACGGCTCTTTGACATGCCACTTGTGGCTCTTCTGAGCACTGTTCCCACGACATGGCACCTGCCCCATATTTCAGGAAAGTGAGCAAGGGCCTTGCCTGGTGGGGTTTGCAGTTGGCAAGTGGTTCTCACCTAGAAATAGCTGCCACTGGAGGAATGGGGGGGGGGCTGTGAGCCTCCTGGAGAGACAGGCCTCACAGCAGGGATGGAAGTAACTGGCTTTTGCAGTTGATGGCAACCAGCCACAGAGTGAGGACAACTGCAGCACTAGATAGTGCAGTCAGTGCAGTCATTCCTTCACCTCAGGGAACTCTGGGTAATTTAGTTTGTTGTGGGGTTCTGTCCTGAGCCCTCTCACAGCAATCACACCCAAGCTACAATTCCCAGGAGTCATTGAGGGCAGCCTTTTGGCAGCTGATAGGCTATAGAATTGACATAAGTTTGCAAGGCAGAGAGGCTCTCATCGTTAGATGCAAGTTGCTGCTTTTGGCCATATGGTTTTTGCCATCTTTACCCTTGTGGGACAGAAATTGATGGGGCTTCCCATTAAAAAAATGTGTTCCTTTGCATGGCTGCATTGCATGAAGAAGGCATGAATTGTGAGCCTCTCTTTCCGTCCTTGGTAAACAGGCTTGGTGACTGGACCGTGGAGAGCACCTTCATCTCCAGTCTGTCGGATCTGCCCAAGGGAGTGTCAAGCCCACCGTTGCTGCGGCAAGCAGTGCCCTACAGAATGCGGGAGCGGGAGAGGCCGGAGCACATGCGGATTGACTCATCGGAGGAGAGGGAGAGCCCACCACCACACAGGGATTGGGGGCTCCAGCCTGGGAGACGGCAGGGCCTAGCCAAGTGGCTGGATGAAGCTGACAGCAGCTTCTTTGGGCAAACACAGGTAGGAGGGCGCAGAGCTGCTTCACAACCATCTGTTTCCTCCCACAGCAGCACAGGTACAAAGCAGGGCTGTGTTGTTCAGCAGAAGCATCATTAAGAGTCCAGGGCTATGGGCATACGCAGACCAGTGTCTATGCTGAGATTCTGCACATGTGCAGGAAAAAGTGTAGGAGGTAATGTTGACTGGGCATATAATTCAACTTCCTGAGAAACCTCTGTTAATTTTAGAAAGAAAAGCAAGTATCTAGCCTTTATGGGTGTGAACATATGCTTGAAAGTGTGTGGGATGTCTCTGCAACGTCTAGAGACTAGAGTTTCAACTTTCTTTTTAAACGAAATTGACATATTGCTAAATCAGCATGGTAAAGCCCTGTTGGGAGTGTACAGATGCCTGTGATTAGAGTTGATTCAAGTAGAATAGTAGAATCAGTACAGGAGGCACAGCAGCTCAATGAGTTTGCCATGTAAGATTTGGAAATCCGGTGTAACAGGCCGGATTAACCCCCCGGCCAGAGTAACCCCGGGGTTACTCTGGCCGGGGGGGTGAATCTGGCCTGTTACAGCCGGCCAGATTAACCCGGGGTTACTCTAGCCTAGGCCAGAATAACCCCTCAATAACCCCTCCGGGGTTATTCTAGGCTAGGCCAAAATAACCCCGGGGTTACTCTGGCCGGGGGGGTGAATCTGGCCTGTTACAGCCGGCCAGATTAACCCGGGGTTACTCTAGCCTAGGCCAGAATAACCCCTCAATAACCCCTCCGGGGTTATTCTAGGCTAGGCCAAAATAACCCCGGGGTTACTCTGGCCGGGGGGTTAATCCGGCCTGTTACACCGGTTTATATCAAAACCGTGTTCTTTCTACCAGCTCCCTGAGGCTGCCTTTTCCCCAGCTGTACCACCAGAGGGCTTATTGAGAACTTTTTAAAAAACACCTATTGTTGCACTATAGCACAATGCCATTTTAACTATCTGTTGACGCAATCTACTAGTTCCTCTGAATTCCCAGCTTTTTTTAAAAAAAGGAGGTCACTTACATGCATGTTGTTTGCCCAGGCTTGGATGCGATTGGGAAGCAAGTTCCCCCCCACTTCCCTACAGCATCATCGTACTCTTATGCACTTCCCGGCTTTCCCCCTGTCTTTCCTGTAATCTTTCCCAAATCTGCTTTGCTGCAGGGTTTTGGGAAAGATCACGGCAAAGCCTGGGTGGCAACCACGTATACAGAAAAGTCTGGATCTTTCTGGTTTTGTTCACGTCCACATTATTCTCCCTGGCCATGGGCTATGGGCATACGCAGGGTCTCAAGTAGTGGTGTTTCATACCTCCAACTACCTGATCCTTTTTTTTTTTACTGGAGGAGCTGAGCTATGAGCCTGGTGCCTTCTGCATGCAAAGCAGACTTGCTGCCACTGACCCAAAGGGATCCAGCTCTCAGGAGAGGTTTAAGAACGAAAAAGAAGCTAATAGCAGCCACAGATAAGGGAAATTCAGACTAGAGTTACAAGAGAAGGGGGTGCTTGTTAGACTCCTTTCCCCTCTGCCGGTGCAAATCCTTCCACGGGAATTTCTGTTTGCCCATGGAGGAATGGGAGAAGGACACAACCATCAGGTGGGTAGATACTTTTTTTCCCTAGTAGAGAAAACATCAGCTCGGTGGCCAGCCATGCAGGGGGAGGTTGCACTGGAGGAAACAGTAAAGTGTGGTCCTGATCTAGCTTCCCCCTCCTTGGCAGCTGCTGTTATCTAGTATTCAACATTCACAATCGGGGAGGACCTCATCGTGAATCCCCTGCACCATGATTAGCTTGGCCTTCAGTGTTCTTTGCAAAGAACCCTGGGAGGTGGGGAAATATCATTGTGCAAGGGAATGGCAGTGACGAACTGAGGCTGCAGAAGGGCAGGGGGTCAGCAGGACAGGCCCCTCTGCCCCACCTAGGCAGTTTCTGTGCAAGGGAGTGTCAGTGTCGAACTGAGGCTGCAGAAGGGCAGGGGTACAGCAGGACAGGCCCCTCTGCCCCACCTAGGCAGTTTCTGCTTACGAGTAGCATGGCACTATCCTTGGCATCTGCATCTTGCTGAGTCCCTGTCTGGAGAGAAGGGGCAAGCCTGCCGTAGCCCCAGAGTCTTGTCCTGTGCAGCCTCTCTGCTCTCTATTTATATCCCGCCTGGCTAGCCTCTTCACTTGCTTCCTAATTGGGTAGCGCCTGGTTCTCCCCCTAGAGTCAGGCATGGAGGGACCAGAAATAGAGCTGCCTGGGATGCCAGAGGGTGGTGGGTGGCTGTGCTGGACTCAGGCAAACGAGCCTTCCGTTTGCCAGCTCAAGCAGGGCTGGGCAAGGCAAAGCTGCTTGTCACTCAGAACCATGAACTGTCAGGTGATCTAGCTGAGGTTGCAAGCCTTTGTAGGCCTTCCTCCGCCCCCCAAGAGTCACCGTCCGTTCTTTCAGGGGCACGAGGGGCCTTGCCAGGGTCGAAGCTGAACTCTCGGTGACTTTGACAAGGCCCTTCTGCTGTTCCCTCCTGACTGGAGCAGGGTAGGGGGCAGGGAGATTGGCTGAGCGCCTCCAAGCAGCTGGTCCCGGGCCCAGCTAAAATTACAGCAGCCAGTCTCATCCTCTCACAGTCCCCAGTCCCCAGTCAGGGAACTGTTCCTGTCACCAGCTCTGGGCAGTGCCCCACTGCTATGAGGGAAGGCAGGTTGTAGGCTGGGGTGGGATTGGGTGGGGACAGCCAGGACTGGCTCCTTAGCCCCCCAGGATCATGTGGGGCTTCCTGACCCAGCTGCTCATCAGCTTGGTCCTGCTGGGCTTCTTCTTGGTCAGCTGCCAGAACCTTCTGCACATCGCCCATGGCTCCGTCCGTTTCGTGCTGAAGCACATCCACCAAGAGTTGGACAAGGAGCTGGGCGAGAGCGAGGGCCTCAGCGACGATGAGGAGGCGGTCTCCACCCGAGTGGTGCGCCGGCGGGTCATCATTCAGGTACCCAGCAACTCCACAGGGCACAGCTGTCTGAATACCCTCCTAGGGTTGGCGGCAAGGGTATCCAGTGGATGCCCCTTCCTCCAGGAGGCCATGTGAAGCTTAGCTGGCCAGTGGGGGGGGGGCAGCTGTCAAGGCCCTGGTGGGGCAGGGAGAGCTGGCTTTGCCCAGAGAGCTCAGGATACCATGTGAGAGCAGGATATTGCAGAATTACGGGGTGGGGGGAATTGCAGTGCCTTGTGGCGGAGTTGTCAGCATTATGGGCTTCCTGACACTCAAAGTCTTTGGGCATGCCAGTCTTTGCTGACGGCCTTCTCGTTCCTTCAGGGCAATGAAGTCTTGGATATTCCAGGGGAACAAGTGACTGAGGAACAATTCACTGATGAACAAGGCAACATTGTCACAAAGAAGGTGAGTGCCTTGCAGGGGTGGTCTTTAAAGGCCTTTGACACTGTTGCTTAATAGCCTGGCACAGTTGGCCCTTTGCTTAGGTGAAAATGGCACTGAGTCACACGCAGATGTGGTCCTCTTTCCTCCAGAGTCTTTTTGTTTGCATGTATTTTCCCTTGTCTGTAAAATAATTAAGAGCCTGCTATTTCCCACATCTGCTTAAAAGTAGTGTGCCTGACTTTGTCCATATTATTTTCCTTGCAAGGTCAGATGTATAGTGACCAGTCCTTATGGTGAACTGGGGGTTTGAACCCAAATTTTCCCAGTGCACTGTATCCACTATACCATACTGAATGTCTCTTTTGTGGTGAGACATATCGCTGAGTGAACTTGTGTTGTTTTGACTTTTAATGTGTGTAGGGGGTGTGGATCTTGCTCTGCAAGACATTCCGTAGCTCACTACAGTTATCTGTCTGTCAGCCTATTACATTTTTACCTCACTGGTTGAGCTAGGAGAGAGTGCCTGGCCAAGGTTATTGTCAGGTTGGTAGCCATGTTGGTCTGAAGCAGCAGAACAAAATTTGAGTCCAGTGGCACCTCTAAGACCAACAAAATTTTATTCATAACCGAGATGGGATTTGAAGCAGGTCTCCCGTGTCCTATACAACATTCTAACCATTATACTAAATTGATTCTCTAGAATTATTCTCTGTCCAAGCCACTGTAGCTGTAGGCTCTATAGACAAATATTATGTAGACTTTTGGAGTGGAACAGATGGTTCCGCATTTTGTGGAGGAGAAACTTGGTGGTATTGGATAGCATTCAGTTGACCCCTGTGCTGTGATTCTGTAACCATCCACTACGGCAGCACACTGGTACCATTCAGCTAAATACTCTGTATATCCTAGGAAGGGGGACCTAAGCCTTGATAGCTGGAAGAAGTGTAGGATGGAGCACTGGGATGATTTGGGAGCCAGGCTAGTGCCAGTCATCCCAAACAGGCTTGTACCGAGCTTTTTTGGTGTTTGTGCCCCACTCTGGCCTGATGCAGATGGGGGCTGTCTTAATAGTTCTGGAGCCTTGGACAGTAATCCAGGTTGAAGTTCCAGGATCATTGCTACTCCCACTGGGGCCAAGCAAAGGGCAGTCTTCACCCAGTGTGAAGTGGGCAGGAGCCATCACTGTTGCTGGAAGCCAGCAGCCCAAGCCCCAGATGGGACAGGTGGAAATGACGGCGGGAGCCTGCTCTTCTTCTTTTCCCCACTCCTTGGGGGAGGGGGGAGGCCATGGGTGGTCACCTCCCCAAGCATGCTGCCCCTGTTGCTCATTTGCTAAGACCAGCCCTGGATTCTTCAATAGCGTTTCAGTAGCTCAGACCACACTGACGGTTCTAGCACTTTATAACAAAGGCCGCCACGTCTTACTCAATTTTAATAAGTGTATTTGGATATTTTATAGACTGTATTGTTTTAGACTTATACTGTATTAATTGTTATGTTGGTTTTAAACTATTGTAAGCCACCCTGAGCCGCCTTGGCGGGAGGGCGGGGTAAAAGTCTAATAAATAAATAAATAATATTCCACTCTGACTCTTAATGGTGCCCAGAATCAAATCCCGTATGCAGCTGTGAGGATCAGTGCCTGATCTGAATGGGCAGGGGGAGAGGAGGATTGCATGATGATGATGGTGCTGCAGAAAGTGCCACTCACAAGGAACTTACAGACAGAATTGCAGAGCTGATCTAAAACTGTGGCTAAGAGACTGAGCTGCAATCTAGAACGTCCCCATTTCAAATTTCAGCTCTAAAACTCACTAGTGGCTTTTAGGTAGCTGCTCCCTCTCTGCTTTAACCCCATCCCCACCCCTTTTGACATATGGTCATAAAAATACCGGTCTGCCTCAAAAGCCTGTTGTAAGACCCATAACATGCCATTTTATATTGGTTTTCTAATAATTTGTTTTCACCACTTTGGATTCATCATGAGATAAAGGAAGCATGCTAACAAATCAATAAAAATCAGTAAGAGTTTTGAACACACCAAAAGTGCTGTATTTATTATTGTTATTAAATGTTGATAGTGAACAGTGCAGGTAGCAAGGGTACAGTATGGGCAAGGATACAGACTAAGGCAAAGTCTTGGCAGAAAAGGGTTTTGAAGAAGAGGCTGGTGAGCCAACGCACATGGTGGTTTCAAGAAGGATGTCAGGGCTTAGGGCACAACAAGGAAGAATGGACCAACTCATTCAAAAGGCCAGGAGACGTGGGAGCTGCTTTTAATTTCTACCCATCCATTTCAGATTATCCGGAAGGTGGTACGGAGGCTGGACACCGACAGTATGGGAGACGGGCGGCAACACGAAGAGGTGATTATCCAGGGCTCCCAGCAGAAACTGGAAGCTGAGACTGATCGCTTCCTGAAATATGCCACTGGGGAGTGGGAGAGTGCAGGCAGCAAGGTATACGAGCCCTGTGGGCAGTGGTTCAGCCCTAGGGCTCCAGCTGCGTCCGCCCTGTCTTCCGTTTCCTGCTCCACCCCCATCTCCCTCCTGCCATGGCGCAGCTCCTTCTCCCCTTTCCCGACTTCAGACTTCTTACTACTGCACCGTCACTGGCCTTCTGACTTCCTTTTCCTTGTGTTTCTCTGTCTGTCCGTCCGTGTGCGCTCCCTGTGGGTTTGTCCGTGACCGTGTCCCACTTTGCTGTTCCTTGCTGCTGTTACCCAGGAGGAGGCTCAAGGGAGTGTCCCGAGATCGGAGCTGCTCGGGGGCAGGATGGGGGCTCACATAGTGAAACGAGCCAGCCTGAAAAGGGGGAAGCAGTGACACCCCTCCCCCCCTCGAGTGGCCTCTTTGGAGGTAAACACCCCTTTGTTCTTACTAGTGGCTGGGAAGGGAGGCGTGGGGGTAAGTGGTGCTAACACCTGTCAGTTTCCCTTCCTGGACGCAGCCTTGGACTGTAGTTTGTAGCCCCCTCCCAACCAGAAGACCTTCCCAGGCTTCTTGGTCCTGCCTACCTTGTGTTGGCCCTGGGACTGAAATGTTTGGAATGCCACTACAGATTCACCATGTAGTCAGTTAATTGGTTAGATAATTAAGAAGGTGCCTCCATTAATTGGACAGTGTATTTTAAAAACAAGGTTTTGGGAGGGAATTAGAAGTGGAAAGCACCATTTTTACAAGAGGCATTCTTCTCTTCCACCCACTCTTCCAAAATGATGCTTGCTGTAACACATGTGCATCATCTGAAACAACAAAAGTATACTTTTTCCCCTTTAGATCTATTATGTTAATTTGCATTCAGATTTATGCAGATGGCCTCAGTTAATTGACTGAAATCCACACAGCCTTAGCTGTAGGTGCCAGAAGGCTGGGAAAGGAGCATTCTGTACCCAATGAATCCCTATTATGTGTCAGTCTCTTGAGAGCTCCGGTTACAAGTCCCTAAGGACAGTGCCCTCCAAATGTTCAGTAGGTGACTTTTTATCTGCATTGACAGGAGATGTTCTTAACACTTACACCCCAAAAAGTTTATTTTTCACATGTGCAAGGATATTCCACCCCCTGTTTCTCTGCATGAATTACTGTTATGTCTGGATCTTCTGATTGTCATGCCCAGAGCAATGAGTCATGCAGAGATGCAATATCCAGCCTCAGTGGGGCACAGATAAAATGGGACTGATTGATCGATCTAGTCATGCAGCAATATTGAGGCAAGCCCAGAGCAGAAATTCTGTGGACAGTTTCCTCTGTTAGTCTTTGGGATGACAAGGGCTTTTGAATTATAATTTAATTCTTTTGGCAAATACCCTAGAGGGGAAAATGCAGAGGATTGGAGGCCCCTGCTCTGCGCTGTTTCCTGATCTTGCTTCTGCCGTGTGCACTACATATTGGACCAGATTACCTGGGGCAGGTTGCCATCTCTCCCTCTCCTGTCTTCAAGAGGGGGAGGCCTGGCCTGTTCAAGAATGGGGAAATTGAGGGGGGGGGAGTAAGATACATCTGCAAGGAGTTATGTCTAGAGTTGGAGGGAGGTGCTGTACACTAAAACCTATGAACCTAAGTATCATGCTGGATCAAACGAATGGTTCATTTAGTCTGACATGCAGTTTCCTTCAGGGCCCAGACCAACACCACATGGAGAAGCCCACTAGTAGGACAAAAAGGCAACATCCTTTTTTAGGCCAACGTGCACCTAAAAATGGGTATTACCAGCCTGTGGACATGGTGGTTCCATTTAACCTGCATGGCCGATAGACCTATCCTTCATAAATATGCTCCAGCCCCTCTTAGCCAGTAGACATCATTGTATCTTGTGGCAGAAAACCCCAGGGGTGGCTATGAACATGTGAAGCTGTCTTAACAGTATGTCATACCATTGGTCAGTTTATCCAAATATTTTCTACTCTGATTGGCCACAACTCTGCAGGACAAGAAAGATCTTTCCCATCTCCTCCTATCTGATGTCCTTTAACTGGAGACACCAGGTACTTGACACTGGGTTTTTGCACATGCAAAACAGGTGGATGTAGCACTGAACCATGACTTTCCCTCCCCTCTCAGACCTGGAGCAAGTGGTAGTACAGGAGCCAAGAGATCCCTGAGGGGAGAGGGGACAGTAATGTAAGGACAGGAGGCCTGTGAGTTTGTCTTTCCCCTCAGAGTCAAAAAACCTGCTTCCTGGAAAGGGCCTGCATTGAGGCATTGCTCAGAAGGAAGATCCTTTGCCGGTGGCTCCAGCCTGGGAGGCAGCTCTTGTGTTATGGGCTCTCAGACATACACAGAATCAGTTCTCACTTGTCAGTCACAGGGACAGTATGGCTTTGCAGAAGAAGAGCAGAGCGAGCAATCCTGTTGACTACAAAAGCTGCACCTGTGCTCCCCTGCTGATTGGATCTGAATGCCACAAAAGACTTTTCTTTCTCCAGGGCAATGTGTCGCAGGATGCTGGAATAGATGGGCCATTACTTTGGTATTCTGATGGGAGAAGCCGCTGCTTGGTATTCTGATGGGAGAAGCTGCTGCTGCTGCTAAATTTCTCCCTTCTGAATAGAATAATTGGAAGACCTGAACCGTTGGGTTGAAACCTGGCAATTCACAAAAGCTTCCTGTGCCCTTAAATTAATTGCCTTGGCAGGGTCTGAAGTCCAGTAACATGGCTTCTTTGGTTACTGCAACATTGTAAAAGAGATGCACCCTGTGTTGAGCTTCTGCCTGCTGTGCAGATGGGGAATGAAGAAGGGGGACTCAGCTCCTGAGCCTTCTGTGGCTGCACAGCGGGCTGGATCTCAGCAGAGCAATCCGTGCACGGCTTGCAGAGCTACAGTGGGAGAAGAAAAGCCAGGCCAGCTGTACTACTCCCTTCCTGCAGCTATTAAAGGGACAGACTTGCTTGCTCTGTTTGGGAGCTGGCAGTGGCTTCCCTCGGCTGCACTCGTTTGGTATTTGTGTGCGTGTGTGTCATTGTCAGTCTGTGCTGCTGTCTCAGTCTGCTTCTTTCTTCCCCACTGGAGCCCAAAGTCTGAATGCTTGAAACAGGGCTTCCTTTGGAAAGCCCCAAATATGCTGTTTCTTGCCTGTCTACTGCATCTTCATTGGGGAAGGGTGCATGGGGAGAAGTGCCTCCTCTTGTGTTGCAAGATCTTTCAATGCTATTGCCATCATTTATGGAGGAGGGGATCTGTCCCACATAGCTCTGGCATGATCTATGGTACTGCTGTTACCTGGACTTTCCATTGCCTCCTTTATCTCATCCTTCTTCACAAGAGATCAGAGATTATCTGGTAGTATCCTCAGTCTTGTGAGGTGGGATAGGCTGTGAGAACAGCAGTTGACCTGTTGAGTTCCATGGCTGAATAGGGATTTGACCCCAGTGTCTCCCTGGTTCAAATACAACACTGCCTGCCATGTACATGCTGGTATGGAGGAAGGAGAGCTTTATAAGAGGGTCTGAACATCCAGGATATGCAGTTAAGCTAGGCATATGCTTTGCCTGCTGTTCTGTAGCAGGGTTCTGATGTGCCAGTTGTAAGGGAGCTAGAAGTCTTTACCAGCTGAAACAAGTGAATCTCTCAAGAGGTAACATGATCCAGAGACCCCAGCTTTTATGCTCCTTGTTGGCCATACACAGAAGAATTTCAAAAAAGAGCAAACTTTTATGATTGGGCAAAGAGCAGTATGCCAAACCTTACCAGTAATCCTATTGGACAGTGCTCCTCCCCCCTCCTGTTCCTGGGAAAGCAAGCTAGTAGTTGGGCTTCAAGTTTGAACCCAGCAAGTTGAAGCCAGCAGCAACAACAGCCTTGCAAGCTGCAGTGCCATTTGCAAATGCATTGCAGTGATCGGCTGTATGTAAGGTCCCTCTTCCCCCCCCCCTTCTGGAAAGCAGAGCAAAGAGTGGGAAAGAGACAAAAACAGTGGGAAAGAGAAGGTAAATGCAGCCCTTTAAAGTTTAACCCCCCAGAGCCTGTATTCGGCAATGCCGAATAATGCTGGAAAAAAGCTGAATATTTTGGCTTTTATTCGGCATTCTATATTCGGCAGCTGAATCAGATCAGAGATTCTGATTTGGCTTTCTGAATACCCGATGCACACCCCTAGTGACTGCTGCAAGTTCACCCAGCTGATTCAGCTTGCTTTACTGAATGCACACCCCTAATGACTGACCCAAGGTCACCCAGCTGGTTTCATGTGGAGGAGTGCAGAATTGAACCTGGTTCCCCAGATTAGAGTCCATCGCTCTTAACCACTACACCACGCTGGCTCTCAATCTTGACCAGGTCTTGATCATCCAAACCCTACACTATCGTTAGAAATTCTTTCTGTTCAGAAAAAAAAAAACCATGCCATATCCTATAGGTAGCATTTTTAGTGGCTGTAAGTTTGGCACCATGGGCCAGCAAACTGTGTGCTGTTGGACACAATTTACCTCCTCTTCCATAGAGAAGAAATAATTCTCTGGCTGGATGCCTTCTTTCTCCCATCCAGAAGGACACGGGCCTATTCATCTGTCACAGAGGTATATGCAAAGGTCATTAAGTCTCTCTCTCTCTCTCTCTCTCTCTTTTTTTGGCCCCCCGAAGGGGAATTTTTAAATTTTTTTACATTTCCTACACACTACAATTATGGGATAGGGGAAAGGATACTAATACCCTAACACTATTACTATGGGTGATGGGTAAAGGAGATCTAATACATATATCTACTTGATAGGGGAAGGAATACTACCATTCTAATCTGTTTCATCTACTGGATTTGGGGGAAGGGAGAAGTCTAATACATGTCATGTTCTAAATAGTTGAAAAAATAATCCATTTTAACCTAATATTACATGTTATATCAAGATTTGGTTCAATTATGATAATACACATTTAATAGCTTAACACAATTTAGTGCTATTGTCTTAGTTCTAGAGTATTTTCTTCTTCCGTTCCTTCGTTTTGTCATTGAGTCTCTCTTGAGCTGGATGACAGCACTCAGTAATCAGTGTTGTAAACTGGCTCAGTAGCCACTTCCAGCAATAATTACAGCACACTCCACAAGTCAGTTGTTACTTCCACAACATACAGCAGAGATATACCCCCTTCTGGAGTTCTGCACAGCAGTTACCTGGTCACCATTCTCCACCTTTGTGGTACACTATGCCTGACTGAGAGAGCCAGCCCTGTTCTCCTGATTTCACTTGATCTTTGTCGTGGTCTCTGTGCAGTCCCACACATGAGTTGGGCGCCTGCGGTCGTGCGCAGGTGCCCAACCCATGTGTGGTACTGCACAGATGACCACTTGAAGATCATCAGTTACAGGTAAGCAACCTATCTTCGTCATGGTCTCTGTGCAGTCCCACACATGGGTTGGGTGCCTGCGCATGACCGCAGGCGCCCAACACATGTGTGGGACTGCACAGATGACCACTCAAAGATCATCAGTTACAGTCACAGTCACCCTTCCTTCCATGCAGCAGGTCCTTGTTAAACCTGCTGGGTTGTTTGGGAAGATGCTGCTCCACCCCCCACTAGACAAGCACCATTGCACACCAGGTCAGCATGTATCCTTCACAAGGTCCACAAACCCATGTTTTTCTCATAAGGTAAATGTACAGACTGGAGGGAGATCACCTGTAAAGGAGAAGTAGGAGATGGGAGAGGGTGCTAAGCTATTCCCTTATCCCTCATTTCCCTTCTACAAATGTATTCATGGCTGCTGTTCTTTGTTTCTTGAATGGGACGTAAATCCTGTTCAGGAGAGGGGAGGCATTTGGGGGGGGGGACTACTGACAGAGGCAGGGGGCATTAAGCCCCCCTCCACCTGCTGGTTCTCTCCTGCAAATTCCCACACTTGCAAAATCTCAGCAAACATGGGTTTGGGGGGGACATGCCTTTGCCAAGCTGACATGCAGTTGTGTCCTAAGTGCTGAAGGCCCAAGTCTGTAGCCTTTATGTAGTTGAAGGCTTTCACGGCCAGAGTTCATTAGCTGTTGTAGATTTTCCGGGTTGTGTGGCCATGATCTTGGCATTGAAGGACCTGACATTTCCCCATTTCTGTGACTGGCATCCTCAGAGGTATAACACAGAAAGTACTCCATCTTTCTGTGTTATATCTCTGAGGATGCCAGTCACAGCTACTGGTGAAACGTCAGGTCCTACAATGCCAAGACCACGGCCATACAACCCGGAAAATCTACAACAGTTAATCTGTAGCCTTTGTTGATGCCATTTTAAAAGTAAAATACCAAAACGTCTATTAGCCCACAAGTCAGTCACTTAATAAGTAATTTGAATAGAACACTTCGTTGTTCAAAGCCTTCAGTCGTCCTACACTCTTGGTTTCAGCACAAAGCTGGATGTATGGGAAGCATCTCTATAAAGTGTGGTAATTCCAAAGGGCTAGAAACCTGGCTTTAAAAACAACAACAATGGAAGCTGGGATTCTCAGAATGCTTGAATGTCTCTTTTATGTTGTTCTATGGTGTAGTGGCTGTGGTGCAGAGTGTACCCAGTCCCAGCTGAAGTGGCAGATGTGTGGAAAAAATAGCACTACCCCTCAAAGTTATCTCATGTTTATCAAAACTTCTTTGGCGTCCCTAGAAATCTCCCAGTTGTGTTTCCCAAAGTTGGACTTTCCAATTGTGTACGTAGCTAAATTTGGTGACAACCTAAGAATGTGCAAAATATATGTATAAGAAATATGGTTGGTCTTGGTGAAATTTTTTCATGTTCTCGAGATTCCTCCAGAATTTTGCCTAAACCTTCCAGTTTGCCCCAAGTTTCACTTTTGGTGAAACTGGGCAACAGATCTAGCTGAATCCGTTGACATACATGTACTTTAGAAATGGTTCCTGCTGCATGGCATTTCTCCACCAAAGACTTTATACTAGTTTAGCTACCATGGCTTCCCTTCAGTTTGATGAGAGTGCTGGAATCGCCATCCCCTCCTTTCAGAACTACGGCTCCCGGAGCTCCCTGGGGAGAAGAAAATATTATTAAATTAGCTTAGGTCTGTGGCATAGATTTGTCCCCAGCCCACGACGCAAGCACAGTGCTGCAGTGCAGATCTTTCTGTAGCCCTAACCCAGTCTTCTCTCTCTCTCTTTCCACCAGGGCCTCACCTCCACACCAACCCACTGACTTCCACCCCCTTTGTGCCCTCCACATGGCCAGGCGAGAGTGGAGCTGCGAGCTCACCAGTGCAGAGCTGGCTGTCCATGATGCTTTAGGTTAATGGCATGATTTCCGTATGAGACATAACTTTACTGCCCTATTCGCATGACCGACTGACTGCAGACGCATGAGCTACAGTTCTTCCTCCTGACTCAAAGCCTGGACCAGGAAACCCAGGAGGGGGGGGCGGGAATGCAATTGTATGCGAAGGGTCCTTTCCAGAGCCCCTTCTTGACGTGATGCCTCGGCCTCCTGGGAAAGGAGTAAGCTGGACGGAGCTCATCGGCCATCCCACCCACCCCTGCTCAGCTCTCCCGTCGGCTCTGTGCTCGGTTACGCTGCGTCCATCTGCGGTGCCCGAGTGTTTCCAGTGAAGGGCATCCAGTGAAGGTCTTCAGGCCCAGGAGGCAGGAAGCCACCAAGGGCCACCCAGGACCACCTCCTCCCTGTTCTCACCTGGTTTGGATGGAAAGCGTAACCTGGACAGTTGCTCAACCTTGTGTATATGATATGAACAGATACCTACTATGCAAACACAATTAGGGACATTCGGCAGGATTGCATTGGCTCAGCTCCCCAGTAACCTCCGCAAGCCACCAGCAGCTTGTGAACCAGAGGTGGGAGGAGCTAGGAGTTATTGGAAGCAGTCTCCCAGGCTCACCTCTCACTCTTACACACACAGACACACACAGGGTGGTGGTTGGGGGTGGTGGAAAATGAGATGGGGAGAAGGGCTCTGCCAACCCCTACACATGTGCCAGGCACACATGCATTCGATCCCTCGGGATGCCTCTTGCAATTTGGCCCAGGGCTGGAAGATCGCTGCTCGCGCCAACACCCGGCTCCACCCAGCACAATCTGTCGCTCAGGAGAGGTGCAGAGTTCCGTTGCTACCTTACCTGCGCTTCTGCACCAGGGAGAACCCTGAAAGGGTCCCCCACACTCAGCACAGACATGGCGTCCGCCAGTTTTTCTTGGACCACTCCTAGCTGGGGAATAACTGAATCCCCAACCCACCCCAACTCTCATGATAAGTAGTGGCCAATGGGGTATGTGTGGTGCTGCTCTCTGTTTGTCCGCCCCCCCCCCCACCAGAGGATATGCCACCGCAGCTGGGACCCACTGCCCCATTCCCATCTCTCAGTGCTTGGGGAATCCTGCCTTCCCCCCTCCCCAGTTTCTTTTTCAGCCTGGAACAGCTGCCTTGAGCAATATTTGGGTCCTTTCTGGTGGCGGCTGTTCCAGGCATGTTCAAGCGATGGCATTTGCTCCAGGGAAGCTGTGGCAGGGGAGGGATATTGACTGGTTGCCACATGCCAACCTTCTGCAGCCCTCCTTGGACCTAGAAGAGATGTGAAGTGACCCCTATTTTACTGAGAGATGCACAACTTCTTCGACTCCTGTCTCTGGGAACTTGCCAAGGTGTCACCATCTAGAAGGGAAGGGCCTGTTCCTGTTAATATTCCACATAGCGATGCTGCCGGCAGCCCCAGTGGGTGGGGTAGCGGTGGCATCCCCAAGGTCTTTGGGGCTCAACAAGCTTGTATGCCCCCTACGTAGAGGAGAAAAGCGAGGGGGGATGCCAGCAAGAGCTGGAGGAAGAGCCGCTCAAATGGTGCCAGGCATCTCCCCAGAGAGAAGAGTTGCCCCAACAGGACACGCGGGGTACAGAGCAACCAACCCCTTGTCCCCCCACCCCCATGACACATGCCCTGTGAAACCTCCCCCACCACCCCCCTCCCCTCCAAATTGCTGACACAGCATTGCCATAGAATCCTAGCGTGGGCTCCCCCCCCCCATGCTTTGGCCTCCTGTAGCGCGTAGGAAACTGAGCTGTGAACTGCGCCCACTCGCCTGCCTGCCGGGCGCCGCTTTGCCCGCTGATCGCTAGTAGGGGCTGTAGGGGAGGGTGATGCCTAGAGAATGCTGCCGTCTGCACTCTAGATGCTTTTTAGAAGTTTTGAAATTACTTTTAGTTCCTTTTTTATTGTTATGAACAGACGAGCCTTTTGGCTCCTCCTTATTCTTCCCCTCCCTCCCTCCCTCCCTCTCCCTGATGTATAGACCATTCTCCTTTGTCCACCAGCTACCAGAGTCCAAATTAATAAATAAATCAACACCAACCAATACAGGCTCTGCTGATTCTTCTTCTTGACTGGCTTCCCGATGTTACTTGTCTGATCATGGAGTCAAAGCTAAGTTTGGGTACTATCATGGGGCAGCATGAGTCTGAAGCAAAATGGTGGAGTTAGCAATTTATTTCCTTTGTTAGGTAAACTTGACAAAAGCAGGAGGGGGGGGTGACATGAACACCCATCAGCTAAAGTTGGTTTGATTCCTAAGATGTGTGTGAATTGTGTGTCTGTGTGAATGGCATGTGCAAGTATAACTTAGCACTGGCTGGGCGAGAGGGTCATTTTTTAAAAGTACTTTCCAGTGTACAAGGTAGATTACTATTATATCATGGAGAAAGTGTCTAGCATAGCCTCGTTGTGGTGTATATGCCAGGAAATTGCTGTGAAGGAGACCCTCTTCCCATGCACTTCTGTTTTGGGTCACAATCTCCAAGGCTACTTTTCATTTAAAAAAAAACAAAAAACCCGGAGAAAGAGACATCAAACTCCCATGAGAGCTAGTTTTAATCTCAAAGATACAACGTATCTGTCAACTGGCCACTCTCTGAAAACTATTTCCAGAGCCTATCATAAGCCCACCGCTCGCTCTCCACTGAAACAAGCCACACGTGCAGGACAGCAAGATGGCAGAGCTCTGGGTTGGTAGGATGGCCTTCTAACCGCAAGTGGAGAATTGCAGCTTAGAGTGTTGTTTTGCATTAAAAGAAAAAACAAACCTCTCACTGCAAATAGAAAACCAGCTTAGCATGGGGAGAAAAATTCTTAACCCCCCTTTTTGTTTGCTGCACTGATTTTCTTTCTACCGCCTAAAATCTCTGCCACTTCATTCCCTTGCATGTGTGAAACAGACCTCCGTGTGTGCATTTCTGTCTTCTTCTCTCCTTCGTACACAGTTATAATATCTTCACAGCTGCCCCAAAGCTGCCCAAGTGTTTGTGAAGTATGACAAGCCAGCTAAATGGAAACCTGCTGTCCACAGAATTAACACGGGGCACAGCAAAAAATCTTGCTCAAGACTCCCTGGAATGAACAGGACTGCACAATTCCTTTTCAGTCCTGGTAGGGTGTGCTGTCCCTGGGCTGGATCTGTCTGTCTCCCACAGTGCAGCTTTTAAATGCGCACCAGGCTGACTGCCACGTACTGCACCTGCAGTTCTCTCCCAAAGTCCTTCTGTTGCACTCGCCCGCATTCAGTCCATCCACTGCAAAGCTGCAAAAACTGGCTGTCTATTGCTCTCACTCCCACACATCTATACATGCAATGCATGCACACCCCTCCCACTCTAATCCATCACACACTGAAGGCGCAGGCAGGCTCTGCCGCTCCCCCCACCCCCCAGCAGCTTATCCAAGCGTTAAGGTTCTGGTGTTGACCGTCGATCTCTCAAAGGGTAATTTGTTTAGGAACAGCCAATCCAGGTCCTGTCCTTGGCCAGTCCAATGAGAGCTGGGGGACCCAGCACATCAGCCAATTGAGACCCGGTATTCTAATAAGCCCTGTCTTTTATCAGAAGAAAGGTAGCTTCTCTTGAAGTTAAACTTGGTGGCCAGTCAGTCTTGGTTTCAGAATCTCTGGACTCATGGGGGCCCGCAAGCCAGACATCCGATGGGCTTAAGCTATAGTTACCTTGGCGAGCAGCACGGCCCGGGGATACCGGCTACCCGGGCACTGGCGAAGGTGCTGTCAGGCAAGGCGACCCCCTTGGGTCTTGGAGGAATGGCACTGTCTCTGTGCAGTGCACCCCTGGAAGTCTAGAGGCTGTGTGGTTGGACACCCATTCTCCATTCGACCTGTTTCCCAGCAAGCAGCAAAACCATGGACTCCAACCTACAGGGAACTTTCCTACTCAACAACCCTTCTCTGCCCCCTTTCCCAGAGGTGAAAGCCCCCATGTGCCAGTATTCTGTGCAGAACTCCTTCTACAAGCTCAGTCCGCCGGGACTCAGCACCCAGCTGGCGGCTGGCACCCCGCACGGCATCAGCGATATCCTAAGCAGACCCGTGGCTCCACCGAACAGCAGCCTCCTCTCTGGGTACTCCCACGTCAGCGGATTCAATGGACTGGGCACCCAGAGTATCTACTATGGGTCCCAAGTGGGGAACTTCTCCAAAGCAGGGAGTGAATACTCAGCCCGGGGCAGGAGCTACTGGGCAGACACAGGACAGGACTGGCACGGAGGTCGTCCATGTGGCAACCGTAAGTAACCAACTAGCCATGGGGGGGGGCATTGTTGGGGGGAAAGCAAGCTGCCGACCAACCCAATTTTTGGGAAGTAAAGGTGCAAACATTGAGGCATAATTTGAGCCATGGTTTGGCCCTGCACCTTCTTTTCAGTGCCCTAGAATACGTAAAGTAATGGTGATATTTATTGCTCCCTTAATGTACATGGTGCTTTTCAGAGCACCACATGTGGGTCTCTGCTCCAATGAGCTTACACTGTGAATTGCAACAGAGTGTGTGTGCGGGGGGGTGTGGAAACTAAGTGGAGGGGAAGAAACAGGCAAGCAGAACAAACGGGCAAAGGTAGGCTTTGCCTCAGTTGAGGATGACGCGTAGGGGGTGTCGCATTCAGGATTTCACAGAAGCAGTGAGATTTCTGGGGAGGGATTTGAAGAAAGGGGAGAGGTGGGAACCTCAGTGTTAATCTGGTCATATTTTTATCCTGCCTTCAGTGGACCTAATGACAGAACAGGTCACTGCTCTGAGGAGCTGGCAGTCTAATAGTGCAAGCCTAAACCGAGTACACACTTCTAAGCCTATTCTGTGTTTAGATGGGTGTAACTCGTTTTAGGATTGCCCCATCAATTTTTTTTTTTAGCAGGGTGGGAGATGACAAAAGCATCAGGGAAGAGCAATGAGAGATGATGAGGGCAAAAAGCCATGTGCCCCTGAGCATGTGCAAAGCTGCTGCCATTGTTGGGTAACCACTTCTGGGATTGAGGCAAGTCACCCAAGTTGAAGGGCTTGGCTCCCAAAGATTCAGGAGCTCTGGCATGTCTCTCCTTTTTTGGAAATTAACCACTACCAGTGTTCCCTCTAAGCTGAGTTAGTGTGAGCTAGCTCAGATTTTTAGCAGCTCACACATTTTTGCCTTAGCTCAGGAAGGATGGCTCCAGAGCAAACTGATTTGTGCAGTAGCCAAATTGCTTGCACAGAACTTTAATGCCAGTAGCTCACAAAGTAGAAATTTTGCTCACAAGACTCCACAGATTAGAGGGAGCATTGATCCATCCACGACTCCCCCACACAAGTTAATTTGACTTCCAGTGCGATGCTGGGGAATCTACCTGGTTGCCAGGGGAGGCGAGTGAGTTCTCAGCCCTTCCTCTGCGCTCCTTTCCCCAAGTGATGGGAGTGGTTCCTGGAGTCAAGTAAAGTTTGTTGTCAGCTGCCATGAAAGTGCTCCTTGGAATGACGGCCGGCGCCAGGTAGCCGAGGGCTGCTGATATGGGGCCCAATAAAAGAACTGTGCAAGAGGGAACAGCCACCAAGGGTGAGACAGGCACAAGCACAGGGGAGAGGCCCTGGGCAGCACCATCCACAAGGACTGAAGGCCGGTCCCACCCTTCCTCCACAAATTCTCCTCCCCATTTCAGTCCCTGTCCGAATCCCACTACTGGGACTGTATTGGCACGGCCTGGATTTCTATCCTCTCGCTATCACCAGGTTGGGAAACACACTGCA